GGTCGAGAAGATATGCTTACCAGGGTGAGTATTTCTAGGAAGCGCCAAAAGGCGAACATCATTGCGAACAGCATCTTCGCTCTTTGAGCAAGCGGGTTTGGACGTAGACGGGTAGAGAGATTTGGCGGCTCTGAAATCCCTCGTTAAGATGGGATGTGACTGGGGGTTTGTTGCTTTCTGGGCAGCGGCGCAAAAGTGTCGAACTCGTCGCAAACAATCGCAGGACAGTCGGAAATCCAAAAAAGAGCTGAATGGTTGGGCGCGCAAAAGTTTATGTATGGCAGTGTGTCTGGTGACGGCGCAACTCTGCCAATCGGGATAAACTGCTTTAAGCCTTGGAGCCGTGAGGGTTGCCCGGTTTCTCTGTCGCTTGTCGCTCAAGTTGTTGCCTGACTCTGTGTTGTGTCACCCTTTTTCTTCTCCGTCTTTCTGTTTTCCTTTGCTTATTTCTTCTGGTTGGCCTTGTAAAGGTTGCCTTGGTACTCGTCTGGCGGTCAACAGGCAGGTCGCTCGCGTCAACTCGGGCTCTCAAAGGGACCTTGATAAACAACTGCAATGACGTCGATCGGCAGATGGTTCCTGGTTTCGAAGCTAAGTCCAGTGTTGTTGCAACCCAACCACGAGACAAGCGACCGACGGAAAATAGCTGGAAGGGGGCCGATCCAAAATCTTTGTCGACACCGTTGCTTTCGAAACCTCTTGTTCCTCCCGTCACTCTGAAGGAAAGTGAAGGCTGAACAAAACTAGTTGCGCTGAAGAGGATGCGCAAAAGTGGAGTCGACTGTTCGTCTGAAGTGGATTGTGGATACGGCTGTAGGTAGCTGCGGTTGTAATTGTCCACTCGTTGTGGCTCTTCTTCTTTCCGTAGAAACAGAAACAAGAAAAACTATTTCAGCGTATTCTGGTTATTCTCTGCAACATCAAAGGAAGAAGGGAACAAAAAGAAGATATAAAAAGTCTTCTTCGTTGCGTGCGTCTTTTCTTCACCGCACTTATGTAAGGTACGCAGAGTACCTTCTTGAACCATCGACTTACATGCAACCTTTCAGGTTCAGGACCCATCAACCCCAAAATCTCCAAAATGCGGGGGGTTGGCCCAATAATAGCAGTGACAAGCTTGTAGCGTGCTCCACAAGCGAACAGCTCAGCCGGGATGAGATCAGACGGCGCGCCGGGTGACGGGTCCCAGATCCGGTCGGGTCGGGTCAGGTCTCGTAAGCGCCAGCCAGCATCATCCTCCAACCTCTTCGTCAGGAATTCAAAGTCTCCGAGACTTCAGCTTCAGTCAACAATTCGGGTGGTTGAAAACCGAGGCAGTAGGTATCGCTATGACGTTGAAAGACGAGGTCTTCAGAAGAATACGTCAGCACACGTCTGGCAAACCCGAAATTTCGTCACAACCAGCACAGCCAGGCAACCCTGAGAATCCCTTCTATGTAGAAGTCTCAGACTCCCAGCACTCAAAGATTTCCAGGGACCATCCATCAGTCTTCAGGGAAACGAAACAAACCTTAAGCACTGCAATGGCACATCGGCAACGTCAACTTCCCCAATCCCCAAAGCATTTACAATGGGATGGTCCCTGCAGAAAGCCGACCCAAATACGGTGGCCCAAGTGTGTCTTAGGCCTGTTATAAAACTGGTCCGCGCTTTCAGTTGTAGCCAGATGCAGGGCAAATTATTTACACTCCACGCACAGCCGTGCGCACACTCCTCCCCGCTAAACGATTCATAATTCTTCCTTATTGTCGCCCCGCTGGCCTACGAGCCCCGCTGGCTTTGAGAGCGCTAAGGCTTGGAAATCAATGAGGAGACTTTAGTAGCAATAGGAGCAATGGGAGCAATGGAAGCAATGGGAGCAATAAAGTTTTGAGAGTAATAAAGTTTTGAGAGCAATAAGAATAATGAAGTTTTGAGAGCAATGAGGCTTTAGAAGCAATGGGAACTATAGGGAGATACTAGGAGAAGCGGGGTTATATAAATAGTGAGACGAATATTAACGCGCCCGGGCGCTTATCTATCACCTACAGCTGACAACAACCTTTTTACATTGAACTTAGGATAACGGGCCTAAGACACACTTGGGCCACCGTACCCAGAAAACCCCAAGACCAAAGCCGAGCCATCCAAGACCAAGCCAATGTCCCTGGAAAATCGGCTCACCGCCCGAAACCCTCAACCATCAAACATCAATACGGGACCAGCTGACGTACACTATGCAGCGATGAAACAAGCCGAAGCCTACCAAGGCAAGCCTAGAACCGGAGAGACTTTGTCGATCACTTTTCTTTAAAGAAGAAGTCCAAACTTCGTGATAGAACTGACCTTTCCCACCTGGCAGCAATACCATTGCGCTGTGGTTAATCAGCGTTGACCCTAACCCTTGGTCATTACATATTGTACCCTTCCTGACACACACCACAAGAACGAGAGAAAGTCCTCATCCCGCCCACCCTAAGGAAACGTCCCCTTCTCCGGCCCAAAATACCCTCTATCCCTCGGAATCTCCAGAATCCCCGTCCCTCTTCCGTCTACCCCCGCTCCGCTAACCGTGTTCCCCCACCACTCCAGCTTCCTCGGATTATACCCTACAGCAAAGAAGATGATCAGCCCGCTGATGGCCACGCCCGCCGTCAACGCCGCCGACAAGACGTAATTGTACTTCTCCCACCACGCCAATCGGTGTTTTGGCATCCAGTACATGAACACGTACGAGAGGATGAACCCAGGCGTCTTGTAACTCATGTTGCTCGGCGCCCAGTGCTGCACGCCCTGGATGACCAGGATGGGGTTCAGCCAGAGGAGGGACGCGACAAAGGGGAACAAGGTGCGGTCCAGCATGGCAAACGGGCGCGGCGACAGACGGCTGCGGAGCTTTTCCTTGACGCCGGGGAGATAGCGAGGGCCGTAGGTTTGCCCGAAGAGGAAGGACAGGGCGATGCAAGTGCCGATGAGGAAACACCACTTGAACAAGGGGTAGAGGGAGTTGAACATGCGGTCCGATCCGAGAAGGCCCCACATCAAAGAGCTGGCATAGAGGGGATTCCCGTCGTTGGCGCAGGTGAAGCGGGAAGGCTGGTCGGGAGTGCAAAGGCCCTTGACGTTGTTCATGATGAAGTCCTGGGTTCCGACAGCAACAAAGACTGTGAGGATGATGGTCCCGATCTGACTCCTGAACACGGCTCTGGGTGGAATCCGCACATAGTGTCCCATCTTCAGGTCTTGGACCATGTTGTCGCCATATCCTGCTAGAGCCCAGGACCCTAGTGTCTGCGCAAACAGGAATGCGTTGGTGTTTCCAGGTAACAGAAAGCCTGTTATTACTTGGATCAATGCTCCCAGGCCAAGGTTCGTGCCAGTGGTTGCCGACAGGAACGACAACGGCACGGCAAAAACGAGGTTGATTCCAATGACGAGAAAGACAAGCCATACCGGAGTATCGAGGGGGTAGATCTTGAGAAAGATGACCGATACAACAATTGCGCCCACGAGGATGACGAGGAACCACCAATCCGGGACCTCGGGATATTGTGCCATGAGCCGGCTATGAACGTCCATTGCGCCGGCATAATTTCCCTTCCCATGCCTCAAGCCGTGCCAGAAGTCCTTATATGCTTGGCCGATAGTCTTCCATTGGTTGATCATGATATAGAGGAAGTAGCTAAGAGTGAACAACGGTCAGCTCAAGACAATGGAATGAGTGGAAGAGCGGCGTAGTCGAAAAAATAGACCGCACATGGACAGTCCAATACGCCTTGCTTTGCTAAGAAAGACCGGCGCAAACCTGTTGTGGGAATTAAATTAAACAACACGATACATATATCGGATAGAGTCCATGAAGCATGCGTTCATCTAAACAAATGCCTAGTGGCTCAGTATAAAGGCATAATGAAAACGCTTGAATGTGTCATGTATTGACTGTAACACGTTTGGTTCATTTTTACGACCCTTCAAAGGGGTAGTAGACTTACACTGGGTAAAAGCAAAAGTTTGCTCCAACTGTCAGGATATATCCAGCTGAGTAGAAAGGTGGTGAGTAGTTCTGGTACCTGGTCTGGTCCAGTTGATTGTTGACCACCACCTTCTGGACCTGATACGTTGTCCCATCGTTGGCAAAGGCTGAGCTAGAGTTGATGGGCAGAAACCCCGTGTAGTTCATATTCTTGTAGTATATGCCCAGGATGATAAGGCCGCCGAGAATACCGCCAAAGTACATGGTGCAGGTGGCAAAGAAAGGTTGCGATAGCGCAGCATACGAGCTTGTAGCAACATTCCAGTCGAACGTGGTGATCGGGTTGAACAGTCCCAGGCCTGTTATTGAGCCGGTCAGAAGAGAAAGAAGCACGTTGTTCGGGGCAATCCAAGTCATCCAGTTGAATGTTGAAAGCGCAGTGAAGAGGTAGCCTGGCAGCCAGTAGTAGACCGCCATACTGAGCGTGCATATGTAAAAGAAGCGGTAGCGGGAAATGGTCCACCCGTAAATGTTTTCCCTTGGTTCGGGTCTTGTCAGAGCTCGATTCATGGCGATTGTTGGAAGGATGGTCGGCCACAGCGCCTTGACAGGGTATACACTGAATCTGCGCAGATACCCGGCAAATCCCATGCCCATGAGTTGAACAAAAAGCGTTAACATGAGTTGATATCCGAAGTTGACAAATTTGAGGCCGTAGAATACATCCATTTTTTGTACCAAGATCTGTCCGATCCGTCAGCGTATACTATCCACAGTAGTAGTCACACCGGCAACATACCATTCCATATGAGTTGGTGGTATAAATGGCAATATTGTAACAAATCGTAGCAAACATCTGCTCCTTGAATGTCCACGGTCCAGGGTTGAGCGAGTGACGAACACTAAAGACTGTGATGCCCCAATCTGGCAGCACGTATTGGAGGAACTTCCCACATGGATATAGCAAGATCTGAATAACCGACCCACTAAGACCTGTCAAAAACAATCAGCACAAGTTTGCAAAGGGTGATCGTAAAGTGAGTTCCAGAGAAGACAAGCTCATACACACCGATAGACGGAAATCTGCTGTTAAAGAAAGTAGACATAAAGGTTCCAATAACCGCCCACGCCACCCCCAAGAAGTATGCCCTGATAGTCTCAATCGGCACCGTCGGGTCATCTTTCAACTCCTGGACTGCACGAACTCCTGGGTAAGGTGACGAGTAGCGCATCAGGGTGGCATCGACTCTCAAGTCCCGGTCGTAAAATTCCCCATACACCTTGGGGCCTTCGAGAAGGTGCTTCATACGTTCTCGCATCTCCGAGGGGAAGTTCCAGTCGTCGGCGTGGAATCGCACGGATTCCTGCACGATGGCGGTAGCCTCCTCCTCGGTCATGTTGTCGACCTTTTCGCAGATGTAATCGCCCTCCCCGTTGGGAGCTAGTTCTTCGAGCATCTCATGGGGGATCTGCTCGCTGAATCTTTGAGTGGTGCCAGCGCTCGATTGGATCTTTTCTGGGTCATGGCTTGATACGCGTCGGGCGGTGCCGCCGTCGAGATCCTCGGCGGTCTTAACGGTTGGTCTTGCGGGTTGCATGGTTATCGTAACAAGGGGTCATCGGGGTTTGGGAATTTTGTTGACCAAAGCTTGACTACAGCTGATGGTGGCAGATGAAGGCAGTAGTCGGATGACAGGTTAAGATGAGGGTATCGTCGAGTGATCGTCTCAAACTCACATATGTCTGCTGGTCTGCTGGTCTGCACTCTGCTCGGAAGAGTATCTACACCTACATGAGCAGCATGATATCCATGTATGACTGCCGCCGGGTCGGTACTTGTAAGACGCGCACAAGGGATAAGAATGCGGGGGCGTCAAAGAGAGACATCATCCTTGATGAAGACCATTCCCCGCAAATGGAGGGAATCCAATATCTCCTTCCCTATCTGTTGAACAGTAATCTGTGTCTTGCAGTGTCATACGTTACATGCATTCTAATCTGAACGGACATATGATCGTCAACGGCCTGGATTTGTGGTGGAAGGCGAAATCTAGTAAAGTGCGGGGAAACAAGGGTGAGATTGGGAAGGAGCAGCAGCAGAACACTACCTCGACGTTGGCTCGTACGGTACCACATGTTGGTGATTCAAACTTGGGGTTTCGGGAATTGATTCATCTATTTCCGAGATCCGGTTGATAAGATCGTCGCCACCACGGTCTGGAGTGGTTATGTCTTGTTTTCGGACGAAATCTTGGTGATGGTGTCGAGAATCACAAAATATGATGCTCAAGAGGCTACCCGTGCTCAGTACAGTGAGTAGTCTCCGACGTGCTCAGCCTCGAATGCGGGTCAGGACGATGTCGGCTTGTCAAGAAGCGGGAAGGTGTAAGGCGGGACTCCAATTATGATGTATAAGAGGGAAAGAGCGAGCTGTGATGTGTTTTTTGTGGTTGGTGATAATTCCATCCTCTGCAGATTCGTCATGACTGTTTCGGACCTTCCCTTCACAAAGATGGAGGGGATGGAAAGAACTTCCCACTCAACGAATCGCCCCTCCCTCCTACTTCTTCACTCCCCCTCTCCTCGCTCGTCCCTCACTTCTCTCCCGTCACTTCTCACTCTGTTTTAGTCACTTACTCAACCTCATTCATCCATCACTCTCATCATCCCCCGTCCTCACCCCTTCCACCCCCATCTCATCCAGGACCTCATGCCTCACTTACTTCACGCAAGCGGCTTCGCAAAAACCGCCTCAACCCTCTCAATATACCCATCCTCCTCCACCAGCTTCCTAATGATCGGCTGGCAATTATGCGCCTCGAACTCCTCCCTTCCCGTGTACCTCTCAAAGAAGTGGAATACTCTCGTATCCTCCGACTCTCGGGATATGCAGTAATAAATGACCCCCGGCTCGGAGGCGGAAAGACGCGTGGTTTCCTCGTAGACGCGCGCTAGGGCGTCGGCGTGTTGCGGGTGGGCGTAGACCTGTTTTGATGTCAATGAGGGAGTCAGGTGGGTGGTGATGGGAAAGGAGGAAGGGAGAAAGGGGAAAAGGGAGATATATACCTTTCCGTAAACGCAGAATTCGGTCTCAGGGATTTCGTGGGAGGAAGGTAACTTGACTCCCGCTCCCGCTCCCTGTTGCCGCCCCTGTTGCCAGCGGGGAGCTTTGGTCGTCGTTGTTGGAAAGGAACGTATCTTCGGGCATCGTTTCTTGACTTTGTTGGTTGTGGGGGTAAGTTTCCGTGTTGTGGGACTGAATAGTGAGAGGTGAAAGATTGATGACTCCTGGGAGGCTTGATATCTGATGTCTGAATTCAGTGGTATGAATCATGTTGAAAGAGCAAAGACTCAGGCGCTTGGATGATATTTGTACTTTATGTAGCAATTGCGAGAGGTTACATTGGAAGTCCTACAACGTTGGCCACTAGACAGACCTAGGCTAGAAGCGCATATGACGAAAAAGACAGTCCAGTCCTACATAGCCCCAACAGTAGGCTAGATAACCTCGCCTCGTTTACTGAGCGCCAGCGAGCTACTGAGGTGTCAGCAAAATGTGGGTAAGAAGTTCGCTTATAGATTACTCACGATAGTCGGCCATCATGCCTAGGCACCTCTAATAGGTTCAGGCCGCTCAGTTCATATTGCTCCTTGGTTATGAAAGAGAAAAGAAATAGAGCTCGCTCGCAACAGATAAACATTAAACACTAAACTGATAACTCACACTGAGACATGAATGAAAGTGAACATACGAAATGCACATGAATGACCCTTATATAGACTTCTTCGAATCAATCGCTCCCCCCCAGCCCCCCTGGTGACCGTTCAGTTCCAACCCGCACCTGTTCGGATCCCATCGCATCATGTCTAAACCCAGGTCCCATCGAAGAATGAGGGAAAACAAGAGAGGCGGAAAACAAAACAAAAAACGACGCTGGTCAATGTACTCTAGCCACCTCGAAGTTGCAGTCGATTCCATTCCATCCTCGCACGCTCTCGTCCTTCGACCCCGTTCCCTCTCATCTTCGGGTCCTCCATATGTTGCTGCTCGTCTCGCCCGTGTCTCCTCCATCTGTGATCTCTCCTTCGTCTGTGATCCATCCATCGTCGAAGTCCATTGGAGCTTCCGGTGCAATCCTCGATCCCTGGACGCCGCGAGCAGTACTACCCTACTCATCCCCCACTAACGCCCTCGGGACCAGTCCAAGATATTGCATCGCGGGCTGCTGCTGCTGATCCAGCCCGCCAAGGCCCGTTCGAACAACTTCCACTGTACCACTCCCCGATCCTTCAACGCCGCAAGCATTACTACCATAGTCCTACTCATCGCCCGCCAACGCCTTCGGATCCGGTCCATGATTATGCATCGCAGGCTGCTGATCGGGTCCCACCATCGTCCAGCGGACCTCAAACGTCGAGCTATGCTTGGCCGTCTCGCGCAGCACGAACCTAAACGGGCAGTTACACTTATCCGTCCCGATCCTGCGCTGATACGGCTTCCTCTGCCCGTTCCTTCTCGCCTCCTCAATCTGCTCCTGTGTGGGGCCGGGCACCGGTCGGTACTTGTTTCCGCTCAGCGCGCATGACATGGTCAGGTGGTACCGGTCGTTTTTGATCTTGGACCGGCGCGTGATGACGCGATAACCGTGCTGGCGCGTCCAGTTGTTGACGACGACCGAGGCGCCGTTGGGACCGCCACCGACGTAGTTCTTGCCGCCTGCGGACGTCGAGAGTTGGATGTGGAAGATGTGCCCCTGAGGAGGGTAGGCCATGTCGAATCCTGCTGCTCCTGCTCCTGATCCAGAAGAGGCGCCGCCAGCGTCCCCCCAGGAGACCGAGGGACCGCCGAGGGATTGGTCGCCTACTAGGTTTGCGGACAGGAGCTGGAGTTGGCGGGATTCTTCGTCGTCATCGTCGTCTACGTTGTTGTTATCATCACCCATGCCGCCGTCGTCTTGGTGGTGGGTGACCACGTTACCGCCGCCGCCGCCGGAGCCGTCATCATGATGGTGACCATGATCGCCGTTGACGAGACCACTTACGCCGCCGACGCCGGTAGCAGCGCTACTTTCACCACCACCACCACCGCCACCAACATCGTGGGATGTACTGGCTTGTAGAAGAGAATTAAAGTTGATTGTGTTGCTGTTGGCTGCCGCTGCTGCTGCTGAGTTTGCAGTGGCGGCCCCTCCTAGGGTGGAAGTCCCGCCAGCAGAGACCGGGACGGCGTGCTGTTGTGGAAGAAGAAGGGGTGCATGATGTCCGCCTGGCAGGGATGGGACACCGTAGGCATCGAGGCGATGAATGATACCTTGAACTAGCTGGTGAAGTTGACCAACCTCGGCTTGGAGTTGAGCAAAACGTTGAGCGTCAATTCCTACCAATTGTTGCTGCTGCTGTTGAGGGGCTGCCTGTTGTTGTTGGTGTTGTTGGTGTTGTTGGTGTTGTTGGTGTTGCTGGTGTTGTTGGTGTTGTTGGTGTTGTTGCTGGACCTGCTGTTGCTGTTGTTGCTGTTGAGCTTGTTTCCTTGGCTGACGAGGCTTACGTGGTTGCTTCTGCTTCGGTTGGGTTTGCTGAGGCGAAGCAACTTGTTGCTGTTGATGTTGATGTTGGTGTTGGTGTTGCTGTTGTTGCAGTTGGAGTTGTTGCTGGTGTGAAATGGCAGGGTGTTGAGGAGGAGGTTGTGATTGTTGGAATGATTGCGGATGCTCGGGGGGTGCGGAAGTTGAGAAGATGGATGAAAGGTAGGGGGGGTTAGAAGCCATCTTGGGTGGGCTGGGGTAGAGGTATTTCCACCAGCTGCGCCTCCTAAATGGATTGCTGTTGCATTCAACAGTGAATCCCTCGATACATATTGCGAAGGGGTCTGAGGAAACGCCAGCCAATATAATGAGACGCAATCGGACCCAGAGAGCGAAGTTCGTCGACTTCTACTTGTTGAAGTCCGATTACGCGGTGTCCGAATTTCGCAAGTGCCAGGGCTTGGGGGGTTGGGGAATTTGCATTCGCACCTCTCGCACGTGATCACAGCACCAAAAGAGGAAAGTGCTGGCTTCACCGGGTTAGGGTTACGAGTGACGATATTTCAGCACGAATGAGAAGACTAACACCAGGACGTCGTTCATTGTTCAAGAACGTCCATTCATTAGATCAATGGAAACGATGACAAATGGTTCCAGATAGAGATCTTGAAAATTATAGGACAACCGTGAGTTCTCGTTTTGGCTCATGTTTACTCCATCTTGTATGTACCACAACCACCAAGACTATTTGCAAAGATGTTGCTATCCAAGGCGTCTCGCTTCAATACCAGTCTCCTTCGAGCACGATGACAGCTAGCCATGTCCTCAATCTACCACTCTCAATCTCACTCTCTTAACCATCTTTTAAGTATCATGTTCGATTCCAAACCAAGTTTCTCTCCCGCGCCCGCTCCCGATCTGCCGGGTGACCGATAGGAGACATCATCGGTTTTTCCCGATGTCCCAAAGCATGTAAAGGTGCCGTTTTCGTACTTTAGTTGCTCGTCTAGAAGCATGAGTAAGTGATTAGTCCTTGAATTGGCATTCTATTCGACCCACAACTTAAGAAGAAGAAACTTACTGAGATTAATGCTTGATATCTTCTTATTCCCCCCGTCATCCGGGCACTGACACTCAATCACAAGAGGAGTGTCTCTCTTGCTTCTGCACTCGCAGTTGCTGATGCCGTTTCCACTGTTGTTTTTCCAGGCGTATTAGCTGTTAGTCACTGGTCTGTCTCATGCACTCTTTCTCTCCGTTTCCTTGCTTTTGTTCATACTCCATCCCATGTATGAGAAGTCTTCGTTTGTGCATGCACAGCGAAACTGATTAAATAAATGGCCAAAAGAATTTTAATAAAAAAATAGGGAAGAAAACAAGACTTACTTCTCCTTCCACCGCACCTGTCCATCCACGTTATTCAAACACTGATCGAGCTCAATGTCGGTAGAGACTTCGTAGCCTTTCAACCCGCAGAATCCGTGAAACACGTTCTTTAGGGCGTCTTTGATGCCCGGACGGTCTTGGCTGGGGTAGAGAAACGCTGCCGAACACCAGATGGAAGGCCGTAGGTCATCATCATCTGAAAGCGCTTCATCGGCAGCTACTTGTGTGCTCAGGATTGCAACCAGATAGAAGAAGATGTTGAGCCTCATTATGGGGATTGATGGTAGGGTGACTACACACACACTGCCCGCAACTAAGTCGACGTAATACGGAGGAGTTCGGGGGGCAGGTCTGCATGAAGCTGATCGTCGAGCTTCGAATACCAACCAGTGTTGGGTTAGAGCTGGGTAACAAAGCTGTCGGTTAAGGTTGACAAGGGATGAGCTCCAGAAAAGTTACAGCCCTATATACCTGTACCAGCGGTGTTGTGATCAACTCGGACAGAGAGTGCAAGTTTAACAAAGAGAAATCGGAAAAGCAAGTGACAAGAGACGGCGAGGAGGACTGAAAGCCACACGCACACTCCGGCCTTTATTGCTTTGTTTAAGAACTCGTGTACCTTGGACAGGAGTGCAATGACGGGAAGAAGCCACGCGCGTGAAACATCGGTCAAGCATTTCAACTTTAGCTGTGGCTATCCGAGACTGTATCCCCTGTTAAACGGAAGGAAATATCAGTCGAGGAGGGCAAAATGATTCTGGTGAAACATATTGCTGGATTGTGCAAAAATTCCGCGTTAAACAGCGTTCAGGGGTTCCGTAGATTGGTTCTGGTCGGGGGCAAGGGGAAACCGCAGGCCCGCTGGGCTGGGTAAACAAGAAAAGGGAACGCCAGGGATGTAAAATGACAAACATGTTCTTTTTGCATATTATAATTATTCAAAGATGGTTCATTCCACTGCGCTTCTGCTGGCGGACCCTATGAACTTACAAAGAAAAAAAGAAACAATATTCTGATCCCAGGAGTGTTGAGTGGAAATGTATAACTGCCTCCTGGCCGTGATTACTCTCCATCTTGAAGGGCAGCAAATGGGAGTAGGGAGTTTGTAAGGCCTTGGTGCTTTAACGGCCGTCCCCTGTAACATAATCCTCGTCAGCAAACAGATCAGTTAAATGAGGCTGGAATGTGTTTGTGACTTTTCTCGAAACGCAGCACTGGCCTCCTTCAATGTTCAAAGTTATGAAGCAGTATTGAAACAATTAAACTTGCGATTCTTACCACCTACCCAGTTATTCAACACAGCCTCTTCTCTCAGGATGCGTAGAGCACTAATGCAGCACAAGAGAAACACTCGAAAAGGGGCGTTGCGTAGTAAAGCAACATGGCGAAGCTTAGTTATCCCCAAGTTGGTAGGCACCGATGGTGAGGATCTTGGTCACACGTTACTCTGTGCCAGTGTAAAGTTGGTGGAAGTTGTTGTTTACATGGTATCCATGTTATGCGTAGGAAGACCTGCCAAACATGGATGGGAGAGGGACAAGATCCAAGTAACAACTTCCTGTCTCAGGCAGGTTTGGCAGGTCGGGATCTAGGGACGAACAGGCTGTAGCCAGCCGTATATTGATCGTTGAAACCGAAGCCCGCTGCATTGGCGTGATGTGACGAACATGTACAAGATACGTTGAATAGGTAAAGCCTCTGGGGGAGGGTTTGTCGCCGCGTCGACAGCCCTCGTGGTGTTCTGGGAGTGGTTCTTTATGTATAGAAAGGGACGCCTAGTCCGCTAGCTCTGTGTGATATATTGCATGCGAACTGTACTCATAGAGCAGGGCCTTCCCAAGATTCTCTCCTCAACCGACCAAACCATGCCTGTTTGTGCGGAAACGTCACTTCCTTTTCTTTGGCGAACCCAGCATACTCGAGATGTTGGATGAACCTGAATATTGGCGATTAGCTTTCATGATTCTGGAAGACCAGCGAGCCTGCTCCGACATGATATCGACACTCGACTTACCTGACGTTGTCCACCCTGGGTTCGACACACATGCTCATGGTCCTGTATTCTGACGTGAAGGCGTAGTGCACCAAACTGCTAAGCCAAGCTTGTACTCTCCCACGCGCCCACTCCTCTCCTATCAGCACATGGACGCCACGGTCCCAGTCATTCGCTGACTCTCCTCCAATGTGGCGGCCCAACAAATCCTCCTTGACCCAGTAAAGTTCGAAATAGCCGAAGGGTACACCATCCCACATGCCTATGACGGGGAAGCTGTGACGACTCTTGAGGGCATTGGTCAAGAAGTTGACCGAACACTCACCCCAAAAAGCAGAAACGCGTGGACTTTGGTGCCAGGCTTGTATCAAAGCCAGATCTGTCATCTGGGTAAGATGGCTCTGTCCCTGGGGCGAGTTCGGACTAACAGGACCGAAATAAGGCACTGGTTTCGGAGAAATGGAAGCTACACGGAAGGCGAGATACTGGCCAACGGAAGGCACAAAGCGGGTGTAGAAGACCTCACCCATACGAGGAGGCTTTGGCCGTATGGGGTGACGGACATGGTTGGTAATTGTGTACTGCAGGGGCGCAGGAGGATAGTAGGTTGGAAGATAGGAGGCGCTGAAGAAGGGGCCGATGGGGTAGGACGGCATGGAACAAGGAGGCAACGGAGTGTGGGATTCGGATACATCCGTGATCTGGGATTGCTGAGCCTGGGCTGGGGACCCAGGGCGACTGACAACCGGAGAGCAGGGGTAGGACTTGAGGTTCTTCAGGTTCGGCTGGAGGGAGAAGAGGAAGAGGCGTCCCGGTATCTGCCAGAACATCTTGCGCGAGACAAACATGTTGGCCCATGGGTCGTCCGAGTCATCGAGGGCAGTGCCAACCGAGGAGTCGGCGCTGGCTATGAGACCCATGCGTTCGAGTTTTGGTATGAGGTTCCTCCCGCGCAAGACGCCGTCCCTCCTGATGCGAATCTTCCAGTCACCACGCGGCCGGCCGGCAGTGGGCGTGGCCTTGGAAGTCTCGGTTTGTAGGATGGGCGAAGGGGCAGGCTGGTGGAAGTACCAGTACAGGGTAACCCACAGCATCATGGCGATCTGTCGCGTGGGGCTGGCGGCCGGCTTAAAGTCGCTGCTCGCAGGGGTCGAAACCGAGGAGATGAACAGGGCGTCATTCTGGAGGGTGGGCTTGGTATACGAGTGTATGGCTGGTTTCGACTCGGCGCCGTGGTCGTCGCCCTTCTTGGGGCCAGGGCTAGAAGAATCGGCGGGCTTGCGATCGTCCTCGGTCTGTATGACGATACTCCAGCCCGCGGGAATAGCGTGCTGAGGAGTGCTGAGTTCGTGGGATTTGAAGAAGAGTCCGGCGAATACGGGAGTGACGCTGATGAGCTGCCCGTCGGGCAATCGGATGACTTGGGGAGGGGACATCGGACCGAAACTGTCTGCCTGTCTCTGGATGGAAGAGGTCGGGGATGTCAGCGTTTCGCAAAGCAGGATGAAAGGCAACTTGGTTGTGTTGGGAGATTGTACAGCCAAGAAGAAAGACGAACTTTGGACGGTCTAAATGTGTTGAGGTAAGTAGGGTAATCGGCGCGATCAGCGCAATCAGCGCATCAAGCGGGCAGGGCAGCAGTTACATAAGTTGAAATAGTGTGGGGTAGAGGTGGGAATGGAGCCCCCCCATGGAAATCTGGACAAGGTCACGCAACCTAAAATGACTAGAATGATATCAAAGGTTGGATTAAGCGAGTGTAGGAAGAAGTGTTCTAGAAGGGGGCTCGGTATCGCTCGGTGCCGTATTGGATAATGAGGACATGGCGAGATGGCACGAGACACATGTGGGATCATGGCCAGGCCATCTGAAGCTTCGAATTTTATGATATCCGATCAAAATGCTCTCGGCTACAAAGTACGAACCGTCGAGTTGGGAACCGGGCTCTACATTCATTAGTTTCCTCAGGTCACGGATTCCACAATACTACCGCCTTCAGGTGGAAGGCAAGAGCAAAATCAGCATAGGTTACTGGTAATGGTGGAAGGGCCCGACGACATGCCATTATCACGGCTTCCTCATTTACTTATTTTACATTGTCGTTCATTGGATTCTGGGCGGTGATCGGAGGGGCAAGAGGGGCACCGCTACAAAGCTCCATCCTGGTCATGACATCCAAGCTTACCCCAAGCTCCACTGTTAGGAAGCTACCTCAGATAAGGCTTGATACCAGGCAAGACATTCAGAAAACTTGTGACCGTCTAACCAAGTGACAGGGACAGCTGGGTCAGACCACATCACACACGTCATGGCGTGGTTGATGCACAGCAGCACTGGCTCGGGAACTCCATTCGCCAACCAGATGTGGTGGAATGCTTTTCTTTACCCGACGTACAGTATTTCTGCGCCTGACATTGAAGCCATCAATTATATCAAATTCTTCACCCAAGACCAACATCATCCTATCCAATCCGATCGTGTGTAACTGCAATGTCCGCTTGCTTCTAGGTATAGACGGGTGACCAAGCAAAGTATAGCTCTGGTTTATGAATCTCCCGATTCCTTCTTGGCCTCTTTCTCCTTCTTGCGTTTCCTCTTTTCCTCCTCGGTAAACTTCTCGTCCTTCTCCTTCTCGATAGACCGGCTTTCGTCATCTTTCCTGGTGGTTTCTTCGTCGAGAACTTCCTTGACGTCTTCACCAACGTCGCGCGCCTCATCCCAGTCAACGTCGTATTCAACCGCAATCACTCGGATCTCCCTCCTCAGCGCGTTCGCGTCCTGGACCAACTGCTCCCACCGTTCAATGTCGAAGCCCTTCATCTCGTACAAGGCATGTTGCCTTCTCGAAACCGTCACATTCATGGCCGCCTTGTAGCTAAGGTCCTTGTTGATGTAGAGGAACCACAGGTAACCGCCCATGATGGTTGTCAGTCCCGCCAAGTACGTCACCGGCTCGACCAGGTCCCAGCCGAACTCAGTATGGAACGTCACATAGTACACTACTCCCCACCACCCAGCAAGCAGGCCAAAGCCGCCCTTGGCTAGGCGATGAGCACTCCGGTGTGCCAAAAGATCGCACTCTTGCTTGAGCTTGGAAAGCCCATCGATCTCGCTGCTCATTTTGCGCAGACGCTGGCGCATGTAGAATGTCCGGTCTCCGAAAGAGGGCACGCTTACGCGCATCTCGATGTGGTATCCTTCGATTTCGACCGCAAACTCGCGGCCGCGCGCCGCGTCCCGAATAAAGTCGCCCATCTCGGTACTGCTGCTCCACCGTACCCATCTCTTATCTTCTGAACTCCGCTTGGGGCCTCTGTGGCCGAGTCCGGAGTATGAGGCCACATGTGACATGTTGGTATTGTACTCGCTAGGCTCACCGCCGTCATCTTTGGATCTCGCTTCGGAGCGACTCGTGGGCTTCTGGTCGCCTTGTTGCGTGTCTTCAGCTCGGAAGTAGACGTTGGGGATTTTCTCCTTGCCATTTTCAATCACGGGTGGAAGCTCGGCTTGGATCAGACGTTCGACGTAGGAAAGCGGTTGTTGTGGGTGTATGAGGAGAGCGAGTGGCTGGATTTCGCTGTTGAGTGATATCGAACGGCCATACTCATTGCTATGGCTGTTGTTATCTTGGTCTTTCTCGACCCGAAGGGGCAGAGGGAGTATGAGCTTGAGGAGACGAGTCGGTGTTGTAAGGAGCTTGCCTAGCGAGAAAGATGGTCAGTGATAAGCGCTTGGGTTTCTGAGTGAAGCGTTTTCCTCAGAACGATGTGTGAAATCACTTACCTTTTGCTATGGGCTCAGCGCTGTCTCCATTTCCCTCGACCGGAGGCTTATCGGCACCTTCACGAAGCCATGGGCGCCTTACTTGTTGCTCACGCGCCCTGACCTCCTCCTCGTGCTCATCAAGTCGCTTCTGGCTCAGCTTCTTGGCTTTTGCGTCGGCTTCTGTTTCCCTGGTCTTTGGCGACACCGAGGTAGAGGCTTGTCTCAGTGCGACGATGGGTATCCTAGGACGGTGGAAAGTGTGGGTTTTCTGTGGTGAATCCAGACACCAGCGAGCCAGAGTGTTGGGAGATTGCATCAAGCGGCATTGCAGCCGCATGCGCACACAGTTCATAGTCGCAGTCGGTCGGTGGGTAAGTATGTGCAGATGAACGTTGTTAATTGTTGGTTTGTATAGGAAAGCGCAAGGGCGTTTTAGGATATCGACAATGGTAGTTGAGCAGTCACAAAGCCAACCTTGGAGATGTTGTTGATGGTAAGATAGGAGATCAACTGCCGGGGAGAGTATAACTGAGAGAAGAACTACAGTAGGTGGAAAAATGGTTGGGACAAGAAACGATTCAAAAGTCTAGACTGGCACAACGGGATGAATCTTGGGATGAAAACCGGGTAGTAGAAAGACTCCGATCCTCCAAATCCGAAACAGCCCACCTCAGGCAAGGACCTTGGATTCAGCAAACCGACACAACGGTCCTCACTTGCCCTGAAAAGCTGGCCCGACCCAGGAATGGTTGCAGTGACGTCATTGCTTCTGCCACTCACAGAAGCTTAATCGCTGTACCCCTGCTGAGCCCGCTGTAAATGAGGTTCCAGACTCTGCCCCACTAAAGCGTATCTCTAATCACGCTTAACGTCGACGTGCTGCTTCATCTCGTCACCGGGCTTCCTTCTCTTTCACCAGTCACACTGACAACAATCTTCTCCACATCATACTCCCACATTCTTTGGAGGACGCTATTGTCCCCAAAAACCATGGTGGCGCACATACATTAACTCTTTATGTTCTACAAACTCATTATGCTACCAAACAATCCCGTCCGGGATGGCCGGTGTCCCCGAAGCCCGACTCCGGCGAGTGAAGATGCTCGACGACACTCCCACGTCAAGAGGGACGACATGAATTGCCAAACACCTGACTCTTCGGAGTACAAATTTCAGCCATACAGCCAACAAGTCTGCTATGCTTCTTGGCACGACCGGCTTCCAAACACGATGATAAGCCCGATCTATACACGCTGCTCTCGAGTGGGAGTGGGCGTTCGCGTGTCACGGGCCGTGGGCCATGGGCCGTGGCCGTTGAGAACTTTAGAATACATAGGCAAACCAAGATCTGCACTCTGCACTCCGCCTTGATCGCCTCCGGACCCATGGATTCACGTGGTGGACACGCTTATAGGTCCCACCCCCTACTAGAACTAAGCATCTACCCGACGGTATCAGACGAAAAAGCCCAACGGCAACAACTCCGAGTTACGGGGAATGTCATGCCTGGGAATCCATCGTCCTCGTATTATTATAGGCACACTCCCATGATGGTTGTCCATGCGAGGGTTTGTGTTCTAGGTACCGGAAAACCACATACCTGCCTTCGACGATCTTTGATCCTGCCTATGGCGTGCGTATCCGAATCCCAGCTTTCCGAGATTATATAGTAGAGTTTCAAACAAGAGGCAAGCAAACTTTACGATTCCAGACGGAAAAAGGTCCCTCGTACACTCGTGATACCATAACCCAGCATCTCCCTTCCTGGCCATTGGCACTATTGGCAGGATTCCTCGTGAGACGCCGATTATCCTCAATAGGGCCCCGTTCCAATGAGCCATGTCTTTTTTATCACTCGAGGTTCAACTCCTAGCTTGGTAAGTGGGCAAGGCGCTAGTACTGACTCCCCCATCTAGCACATTTCCTAAAGAGCTGTCTTAGGAAGTGAGCGAAATATCCGATCAGGGTACTCCCAAATACCCCTCACCACACGATGCCTATCTTTGAGAGGCAGAACTTCCGATTCGGCCGGTCAGAGAGCGACAAAGACTGTCCCACGGTATCTGTAGGGCCGGAAATCATCATTACTGACTGGTTGCTAGTCAGTGTGTCGGCCGTGTTCCTCGGCCTCCGCATTTACAGCAAGCTTCTGCGAAAAACATGTCTGTGGTGGGACGACCATGTTCTCCTTGTCGCTTGGGTAAGCTCCCTAAGTGCCCCTTTCACTTGCACCATCTTTACTTCGCACCCTTCTTGGAGGTTTGTACCCACTGACCTCTCCTCTAACCTCATTTCCACGGCACATAGCTTTGCCTCATCCTAGATGCCATCGTCAACACCATCAACATCCGTCTTGGCTTCGGAAAACATGTCTGTAACATACAGAAGGACAACCTCCAGCATATCTACACTCTCACGCGCCTCTCTACCACGGTAATGATGCTGGGCGCCGTCTGGAGCAAGACTTCCTTTGGCCTGACCGTTCTACGCCTTACAAGGAACAGACCAAAGGTCAGGACACTGGTGCAGATCATCATTGCAACCATGAACTCATTCATAATCTTCAACGTGATAGCGGTATGGGTACAATGCGGAGTCGGGGCGCATGGGAAAGTAGACGACGAAACATACTGCTTGAGCAAGAGATTCACGACTTCTTCTATGATGTTCGCTGGAAGTTAGTATCAAGCCCCGGCAGGTGGTGACTAGACGTTTCTCGGTTCCGTCATGCTAATCAATCCGTCTGTGTATGCAGTATACTCGGGTCTAATGGACGTTGTGCTTGCGATACTGCCCTGGTGTCTGATATGGGACTTGCACATGCAACGGAAGGAGAAGATTGGAATCGGTATTGCCATGAGCATGGGTCTCTTGTAAGCAAATCCTACTCATAACCCGCCATCCACAATGTCAGTTTCAGATCTAACGCAGTGTCTTTCCTCCGCCGGCAGTGCAGCTTGCACAGCGTTCGTAAAATGCTCCATGATTCCGGGTATGGAAGACGGTGACTTCTCTTGTTAGTAACGGCTCTTCGCTTAAGCTCCACAGACAGCCCCCGTCAATTCCATCCTCTATCCCCTTCTGTCCTATCTTCTTCACTTAATACTCATACGTCTTTTACTTAACGATTTAGTCCACGGGTACAGACTCGTTATCTGGGGCGCCGCTGAAGTAGCCGCGACAATCGGCGCGGCCTCCATCCCACAAATCCGCGTGTTAGCCCGCGAAGTCGTCATCATCGCGCATCGGAGACGCGAAGGAACCAATGGGCAGCAACAGCAGCGGCAACAGCAGCATCATATGACCCAACTGAAGAACACCAAAACAAGCAATACGACGCAGCTGAAGGATGCCAAAACAAGCCATGATGACTCTGGTTCTGCATCCGGGCCCGGTGCTGGTCCAGATCTGGTTAATGCCCCGGCAGCGGCAGTGAAACTCCAGCCCCGGCCATCAATGATATTGACAACCATCCAAGTGACGTCCTCCGCTTACGGATCCACATCGACGGCCGCCACGGCTGATAAAAACCGATCATCATCAAACTCCAGCATTAGCAGCTATACGGGGTTACTTGGTGGGGTTCTTGGAGGAGTCGAACGGACGCTGAGCAGGAGCAAAAGCAAGAACCACGAGCGGCGGGACAGATATCCACATCTTGCCGCCAATAATACTCCTCAGGGAAGGATTTTGCAGACACAGGAGGTTAGTATTCAGGTGCGTGATCGGGATATGGACTTGAGTAAAACGGATATCGAACAGGCGGTTTAGGGAGGATGTAACGGCAAGCTGAAAGATTTGATGTTAAGGAATAAAGAGGGAAATGATCCGTCTTTGTGTTAAATGAGTAGGTAAGAAGGGGGAGATCTGGCATATTTAAAGTGCAGGAGGTCCGTTCCATTTCATTTCCCAGGTGTTGGGGACTTTAGGTGAATACCTAGGTAAGTAAGACGGAGAGAGTGCCTTCAATTCGTTCACAATCGAAACTTTGACCAATTCAGCCTGCTGCAAAATGAACCCGTTCCAGATCGACCGAACGACGATGACATACCAACCTGGTGATCGTCCTTCCCCGGTGCCACCATGCCAATAATACCACCTTCTTACAGCAGCAAAGCCCGCTAGTTAGAAGCAGGAACAGACGCTACAGACCAATGCTACTGTGTAACGACAGCACGTTGTGGAGGCCGTGATGCATCCCACCTTTGTAAGTGGACGGCTCTGACGACATTTCAGCACATCTAATGCTAGGGCAGTAATCAAAACAATAAATAGGAAGCTGAAAGAGTGTCTCTTGGTGAGTTGCTACCCCACAATCCGAGCTCTGTTGCGGATCAATCACCATGAGTGGCAAGGCCTTGCAACGGTAATACAGGTCTAAAGTGGAAGGTCAGTAAATCATGTGTTACTTAGACTAAACAACTCTCGGGTAATGTCTTATAGAAATGACTATAAAGAAGGGCCGGCCGCTATGACGAGTAGAACATCCAAGCCCTGTTGAGTGTAATCAAGAGGCGTCAATTTTTTTGGTTTGTCTTTCGAAGTTGATCAACGAAATATGAGGTTCACATCAGCACTCTTCGCTCTGGCTGCGGCCACTCTTTCACTTGCTTCAGACCCCAGCGATTGCTCGACTACCTCGAAGGAAAAGACAGGCTCGGATTTCAAGCTCACCGAACAAGCAGACAACGCCAATGTCGCCTCTCTCTCCAAGATCTTCACCGCGGCCGGCAAGAAGGTTTCGGTCGCCGACGTCTTCAACGATGGCAATCACCAGATGACCACCGACTCCTCCGGGCGCAAGCTCTGGCAGCACACATCGGATTTCAACGACGAGGACACAACCAAGTGGGTGCCACAGGGCATCACCTCAACAGCCGATGCGCTTGACGCGGGCACCTACGAGGGTATCAACGGCTGGATCGTGAGCTGGCACCGTGATGATGATAAAAGCGTGAGAATCACATTTGTGAACCGAGCCGATGATGGCTACCGCCATGCACTGCTGGTGTACCCGCATGCGTCGGACAACTTCAGAGAGGTTCCGGTGCATGCAGGCGGTATCATGTGGTATGGAAACACCTTGTGGGTTCTGGACACGTACAATGGCATCAGGGTCTTTGACTTGACCAACATCTGGCAAGTCGGGGATGGCAATGGTGTTGGCAAGGTCTCCAGCGGCGTCTACTCGGCTGCTGGGTATAAATATGTGATTCCTCAGATCAGGTCAGTCCAGTCATTTTCATTTCTTATCCAACGATAATATCGTTCCTCGGTCCCGTTCAGTGACACTCACCAACTCAAACTTGTTTACAGATGGTATAAGTGGTCTTCTTCCTTCGAGTTCCGCCACTCCTACATGGCCCTGGACCGCACCACCACTCCCGACAGTCTCATCGTCGGCGAGTACCAAACCTCGACCTCGCTGCCCATCCGTCTGGTCCGGTACGAACTCGACTATACCACGCGCCGGCTCAAGACCGACAGCAGCGGCGTCTCCAAGGCCATCTGGGCCTACTGCGTCAATATCGAGCGCATGCAGGGTGCAGTGTCGGCCAACGGCAAGTTCTATCTCTCGCGAAGCAACGGCGCATCCAAGGGCGATCTCTGGGCCTGGGTTCCCGGCGGTTCTGCGAAGCAGAATGCCGGCTTTTACCCAAGGAGTCCCGAGGATCTTAGCTACGACAAGAGAAATGGCGGGCGTCTGTATACCGTGACGGAGGCGGAGGGCGTGAGGTATATCATCAACTCGGCTGTTAGCAGTGTCAGTTTCTCTTAGTTCAAACAGTCCGCAGGAGTCTGAGGACAGGACAGCACAGTCGAACTGGGTCCAGAACAGAGTCCGAACGATACATGTAACGTCAGACTTAAGAGACAGGGATCGGCCGCCCTGTGAGGCACAGCTATTAATGGTGGTTGGTGTGGGGGGGGGGGGTGGGGGGGGGGTTACGTCTAGGAGAGCGAGTAAGAATCCTTCGTCACTTAAATGACTTACAAAAGCGTTAAGCTATCCCGAGCAACTGCACTCAACCGAACCAGCCACTCAGGAATAAAGTGACGCGCCTATCATAGAGGCTCAGACACTCAATGCCCAAGACGATATCATTCTGTTCTATGTCATTAGGCAGAGAGCTGAACTCCAAGCGAGCCAACAGGATTGGCATTGTTGACCAGGATGCAGATCGAGTAAGCACTAAATCGGCCGTACCTGTCCCATTGTACAGGCAGCTACTTTCGATGAGATGCTTCACGGGTTGTTAAAGCTTGCTCTTTCTCATTATTTTTCGTGTGTTCACTGTCACTCTGCAACTCTCTGATGATTCGGCAAGTGGGAACTACCACTCCTTCCTATCAATGGCACCCTTGAACGGTGTTCTCCCAGAGCCCTCCAGTTGGGCAGGCATTAGTCTGCTCTCTCTAGGGTTCGTTGCCCTCCTCTACGTTGTCGAGAAACTCTTCTTCGTGCAACCTCTTCCCAAGGGCGTCCCTTTTATCCGAGAGCCGCCGGGAGCTACTCGCTTCAGTCTCAAGACACGATGGGCTTATATGACAGACTGCGCCAATCTTCACAAGGAAGCTTATGAGAAGGTGAGTCTTGGTCTGTCTTCTATCCTTGCAATTTTGCCCTTACCTGAAGCGGCCCTCAACAATAGAGGTCGGTGGCTAACTCCTGATACTAGTACTTGGAGAAAGGCCAGGCCGTCGTCGTTCCTGGGGTGGGCTTTCGCAAAGAGCTCATCCTGCCCCCGAGCTCCTACAAATGGATCAATAGTTATGACGATAACCAACTGAGCGCGTGCCATGCGTTTGCGGATTATGATCAGATTATCCACTCGCTGGGCAATGACATCTACCTCTTGGATCCATGGCAGGGTACGACTGTCAAGAACGAACTGAATCCCTCGTTGGATAACCTCATGGATGCTCTGAACGATGAAGTTGGCGTCGCCTTTGACACCTACCTTGGTACCGCTCCCGGAGAATGGGTTGAGGTAAACATCTTTGAGGTCATGAAAAAGGTCATCGCCCAAGCAAACAGCCGCTTCACCATTGGTCTTCCTTTGTGTAAGTCATTCCTTTGGTCATTGGGTCTTTCCGTGCTACTAACAAGGAACAACCATCTCCAGGTCGTAACCAAGAGTACCTGCAGACCTCCCTGGAGCTTAACGAGCAATTCATCACCTCCGCCGGCACCGGTCTCGCATCCCCGGGGGTCCTCCGGCCCTTCACCACACGACTTGCCGCCATCCCCCTCCGGTTGAACCTGCGCAAACTCCGCAACCTCGTCCGGCCCATCTACGAGCAACGCCTTGAATACCTCAAGCGCCCACGCACCGACCCGGACCCGAACGAGCCGCGCGATCACTTCCAGATCATGCTAGGCTACGCCCAACGCGAGCGGCAGCATGAGCTTGGGGACCTCATGAACATTACCACGCGTCTCGCCACCGCGAACTTTGGGTCAATGCACCAGTCCGCCTTCCTGATGACCAATTTGATCCTCAACATCCTCGGCTCCGAAAAGGAGTTCAACACCGTCTCGGTGCTTCGCGAGGAGCTCGAGCGCGTGGCAAACTCGGACGGGAATCCGGACACGTGGACCAAGGCCAAGATGGCCAAGATTGTCCGCGGCGACAGCGTGCAGCGCGAGACGCTGCGGCTGCACAGTTTTGGCGGGCGCGCTTTGCTCCGCAAGGCGTTGACGGACGGCATCATCACGGATACCGGTATTGAGATACCAAAGGGGTGCATCTTCTCGGTGCTCAGCTACGCGGTGCAGACCAGCGAGAGCAAGTACGAGCAGGCCAACAAGTTTGACCCGTTCCGGTTCTCGAGAGTTAGAGAACAAAAACAACAGCAACAGAACCAGCAGGTGGGCAACAAGGAAGGAGGAGCGGCGGGGCCGCCGCTTACCTTTGTGTCGACTTCGATGGATTATCTGGCCTTTAGCAATGGCAGGCATGCGTGCCCGGGAAGGTTCCTGATAGACTTTGAGATCAAGATGGCCATGGCTTACTTGCTTGGGAATTATGATTTGGAGCTGCCGGCTGAGTATAAGGGGGAGAGACCGCCTACTGTTTGGATGACTGAGGCCCAGTTTCCGCCAAAGGAGGCGAGGATGAGGGTCAGGAGGAGAGAGAAGGTTTGAGTTTGTCTTGTTGGTTACCTAGAGTATGCGATCTGAGATCACATCTCGGATATGTATGGATATCTTGTACAACGCTGGATATGAGAGCATACAATAAAGAAGAAAAAGAATGATGTTGAACTCGTAGTCATTGAGACTCTCTCTTATGCAGAGCAGTGTCGCTCCATAGAGGTATACTGGACGCTAAAGACACGAAAGCGACAAATGATGGCAAAAGCTACAGAACTTGTTTGCGCATTGGAATCAGAATACATTGGAGGACCTCCATACCGAGACTTTGAGGAATATCACTGCAGTTAATGCTGTGTTTTCAACGAGTGTCTCCAAAAGGGGAGGGAGTGCGTGTGAAGAATGGGGCAGGTGGAGGTTGGTGCAATTCGGGGAACGTAAGTCAAACTTCGACGTCGTGATTTCCACAAGTACGAAGATACCTACACGTAGTGAACAGGGCTTTAAAGCCTTGTTCAAAAGCCATGAATGGGTTAAACGCGTACAATATACGGGTTTTCTCTTTCTTTGGTTGTGTTTTCTTTTTTCCCTTCCATATGAACTCGGGAATAGTAATATCCGTTCCAGAACATAGGCAGGTATACATGGTGGACAATGAACACCACTGTGAATAAGCATCACAGAGGGTATTGAACGAGGTACGCAATTCAAGGACCAAGCAACGTACCTTATCTATCCCGCTAATAAAGCCGCGTTGTCAACAATTTATCATTGGACAAAGCAACTTGTTTATTCGCTGAACTTTTCTTTTCAGTGCCAGTCGCAAAGACGGGTGTTCATTACACTGGTTACAGTGTTCTTCTAATCCCATCCCGCTACTTTTTTCGATCAATCAGGTCCCGAATCCATACATGGATCATTGGGAACAAAAGGCCTTGTATTGCGGGAAAACAGAGGAGGGAAAGACGTTTTGAAACAACTCAATGGATGAAAGGTTTGTTCGTGTACTCGGTCGGGGTTTTCTCGCTTTGCCTTCATGGGTAATGTCTGGCACTCTGACGACGGAATACCGAATACCTCTCTCTGGGTATAATAAGTGCGGAAACCTCTCACCTTCCCGCTTTACAATATCATTGCCAGTCTTTTATCCCGGCCCACATCAAACAACGAACTGCTCTCCTTCAAATTCGGATCAAGCAATCAGTCAACCATTACTCCTCCTCTTCCCTCGTGCATCAAACAACAACAAAAACACCACCACCGCCGCCCAACAACAACATGTGCACCTTCGGATTCTCCAAGATGGAGTGCGGTTGCAAGGTCCCCATCGACGGTACCGGCAAGCAGTGCAACTATGCCAAATCCAGGGGCAAGTACACGTACTGCGAGGAGTTTATGTGGGTGGAAAACCGCGCCAAGTCAAAGTCTTCTCCCTATCTCTGCGCTCAGCACTTCCGCTAGAATGCATGCATCAACCCGTGCACAGAGTTTCTGGAAGACTCGAAGAGGTAGCGAGGAGTATTGAGTGTTTCGAAAGCGGTAAACAGGAGACAAATACATACCTTAGCACGAATCCATTGTTGTTCTTTGCTCATGAATGTGTGTTGAAGATGGTCTCTCTTTTCGTTGTTATCTTTTTTTCGAAATGACGATGTTATGTCCTCGTATATCCACCATCCCGTGCTTCCTCTGCTTCCTCTGCTTCCTGTCCCATCCCATCCCATTTCACATGCCATCATGTTATCCCTCCTTCCCCACCTCCTTCAACTCAACCTCGCCATACATCCCCTGCCGCAAAGCAACTTTCATCCCCCTCGCCGCTTCATTCTTCAACCCCACCCTTTCCGCCTGACAAATCTTTGCCTTGCTCTCCTGATCAAGACCATGTGCTATTGCTGCCAAAGCATCCTCTTTCCACGCTTCCACGCCATGCCTGCGGGTTTGCCAAATGGTGAGCCCAAGATAGAGCGCGCTCGCTACCATGACCGCCACCGGAACGGTGACGAACGGCCAGCGGATGCGGAAACGGAACACCCATTTTGTCGTGGAGCTCTCGGTTACCCATACCCCTTCGTTTTCGCGAATCCAGGCCGTCATGCTCCGTGCGACGTTGTCGAAGGTGGTACTGAGGTTGCTTGATTTGGCGATTGCTCCGGCTACTGGGTTGTCATTAACGGTATCGGTTGTGGCTGGATACATTAATGGCTCGGGGGCAAAGACGTGAATGAACCAGTCAATTGTGGAGGCTAGTGTTATTTGGGTGATGTTGAAGTAGGGGAGGTGGTTGGAAACCGTAGTAGCACCAGGGCCATGGTCCCCGGGATCGAGATCGGGGTGTGTAGCCAGCAGTAAATCAGATCGAGGAAAGTCCCATAGCTTTCCGTGTGGCTCTAGGCCTGTTGGGCTACCCAGTGTGTGGTTGAAGGGATGCATCCAATTTTCTCTTTGTTCTTTCGTGGCAATTGTGCTTCTCAGATCTTCTTCTTGAGGCAACAGTGACAGATGTGACCACTCGGCCCACGATCCAATGATGGATTCATGGAGTATGCCATTACTGACGCTCGATTTGTATCTGTTGACGCAGAAGGATAATCCGCACTCCATGGCCAGTGGAAGTGTCGCGTTCCAGGGCGAGAGATTGTTGACAAATTCCGGGGTAGACTGAATAATCCTGAAAACAACAAAGGTAGTGGCAAAGTCGGCAAATGATATGGACTCGGACCGGTTTGCTATGACTTTGACTACAGTTTGGTTGGGTGATAAGCCTGCAGCGGCCAGTGGTGATTGATCGGTACCTCCATATCGCTGTCTAGGTATTAGACTTTCCATAGGAACTGGGTATGCATTTTTTGGCTGCTTTGCGCTATCCCAGTTGAGGATTTCCAGGCCATATGGTAGTGTGTATCGTGTGTATGTGGTCCCTTCCTCGGGTACTCGCTCTTTTTCTATACGATCTGACACATTGACGCACGTACTGCAAACCGCCAAGGAGTCGAGAATTGTGAAGGTGCAGTTACCGGTCTCGCAGAAGAAGGGTGGCTGGTAAGGGTCTGTCAAAGCTGAAGATTTGTTGACAAATCCATCGTAGACGGCAAGCGTCAAGCCGAAGTCTGATGTCAGTGCACTCTCTTTTAGAAATACCTCATCTGGTCCCATGGAGCCATGGACGCTTGTCAAATAAATCAGCGCTCCTGTTGTCTGCTCTTCTCCTACGCAGATTCTGCTCGACGCTCGGATCCTGGCTTTCGAGCTTCCTGCGAGTAAGCCCTCGTCCCCAGAGGTGTCGACTATGGCTTGGACAAAAGGGTCGTATCCGAACATAACAACAGTTATTAGAGCACCGAGAGAAGCGAGATGCCTATCAGGTAATTGTGTTAGCTGCTGACATATCAGGCAAGTGGACTAGGTGGCCGGAAGATCCCATGAATAACCAAAACTTACCGGTACTTGAGCTTCCAGAGCAGCTGTAAGCTTCCCAGAGGCCCTCGGCTCGCCTCATCAAAGGTTCTGAAGAGCAACACATCGTCTTCTCTCTGATAAAACCAATTCCATTTTGCCTGCCCAAGACAGGGCGTAATGGCAAAGGCAAGTGATGTGCGAGATATTTGTGCCAGGGTCGATATGATGGTGCCCAGTGAAAAGTAAAGAGGCCACGACTCTAGAGGTTTGCCGTCAAAGAAGTAGAGTGTACCAAGCGTCAGCAACAGAGAGAGACAGCTGAGTGTCATTGCCGCCAGCTCCCAGAGCCAAGAGGACCCCCAACGTTGCCATGGGCTGTACTGTGACAATCGTGTGTTGCTTTGAAGGATTCTTCTGGGAATCACTATTTGTGGTATAATAAAGTCCTGGTGCGCTTCATGGGGGGCAGGTGGAAGGCGGTCCTGTAGAGGAGGCTGTGGTGATAGCGGAGTAGAGTCGGATGGTTCCGGTTCCTGGATGGATGGCAAAAATACTGTCGAGCATGCTGATATCTCTGAGAAGGAATCTCTGCCACCCGCCGAGTATGATGTCGAAGTATGGGAATCCATGTGTCCAGTAGAATCTGACTATTTGCAAGGTGGCCGACCATATGCAAAGCCCAAGGAAGTATGCTAGGAAGAACGAAAACGACTTGGAACGAAAAGTGCAAATACGAAGGCGAGGCTCACCTAGATACAAATTCCTTCAGGGAGGCAGCAGAGGTCATCTTGAGCATGTCGGAGCAGGCTATGTGTACCCTGCTTGATATGAACCGCTGTGCGAGATCTGAAGCCGCAGTCGTCGAGATTGTAGATGTAACGATAAGCTAAGCCACAGTGATTGAGACCAGCAACCGTTGTGTTACGTGCATAGGTGAGCGAGGCCATGAAGTGGTCTTACCTCGCTACAGTACCCACGTCTCACAAGGCAAGCAGCTAATGAGCTCGTTGGTTGGGGGTCTCGATCGCCCTGTACAGGAAGTGTTGGTGATGTTGGACAATACCGAGAACTTGCAGGGTTCAGGACTTGAGTTTGTGATCGCAGCCTTGGGTTGTCGACGATGACAATTGATGGCGGGATGGAAAGGAGAAAAATGGATCTTGACTGCAGTGCAACATCTGCAACCTTCCAACACGGTCTGGCTCCATCTTTTCGCCCCATCGAGACAATCTCTTCCAACTGCTCTTTCCTTTTCCGATGAGCTCCAGTCGTGACTGCACGTTTTAGTACGCTAAATCCTGGCAGGTGTGACTGAGGCAAAGGTCAAGGAAAAGGAAAGATCTCCCCTCCAACTTTCCCTGTCTTTCCTTCCCTCCTTCCTTTCTTTTCTTCTCCCTTTCTCCCCCCTTCCTTTCCACATCCTTCCATCCATCCCACGTGCTTCCACTTCTGCCTACGAGTACCTTCTACAACCCAACTGGACTCACCACCTCCCAAGCATCAATCGCCACAAACCCATTGCCCGTAGTCAAGATGCCCACCGCCACGACACTATTCAGCCAGAAATACTTGGCACTCCCCGTCTCAAAGGTCATCCGCAGGTGGATCTTGCCATCCTTCTTGGCCGGCCCGTTGGTCTGGATGAAGATGTTGGCGCCGTCGTCCGTGACGAGCTGGTAGCGCGTGTCGACGTTGGTGGTGCTTTCGGCCCCGCTGGTGCTGGAGAGGGCCCAGTCGGCTCCGAGGTTGAGGATTTTGCCTGTTGGGAAGAAGGGTCAGGTCAGTTTAGGGCCTATTGCTGAAGACAAGAAGGGAGATGAAAGAAGAGGAGGGGCGAGAGGTAGGTAGGCGGGCGGATTAAATAGGGAGGGGATAGGACGGGGCCCACCCTTCAACTTGGGACCCTGAAAAGTCCCTCCAGTAATGGGGATCACAATCCTCGAGCCGCGGGGACCGGTGCCAACGGGAATTGCAGTGCCGAGGGTGCAGTTGAGGGAGTAGAGGAAGTTGAGGCCGGGAGGAGCGGGAGTGGGGGCGGGGCTGGTAGGACGAGCGTATGAGCCTTGGATGGCCAGGGCCAACGTGGAAAGGACAAAGACAAGCTTGGAGAACATCTTGATTGAATAAGTAGTTTGACCGGGGAAGCGTAAAGGTTGGCAAGTTCGTGCTGAGTCAACCACACTGGGGGGCAGAGATAGGAAAAGAAGGCGGTAATGTTTACCTTTATAGTTAGCACTCACTCTTTAACCCCCCCTCCCCCCCGTCATGTGTTATCCTTGCGTCCTACGTCCTACATCTTCATCTCGCAACAGACTACCATACCCTAGACAGCTAGACAGCCATCGATCGCACCATCCATTCCCCGGAGACGAGACTGGATTCAACCATGACGCGATATCGCGGTTCTGGGGTCTTACCAGGGTAGGTCGTAGGGCTAAAATCACATGCCGTTAACCCTTCCCGAACTTGCGGGGAATTCTGCCGTCTTTTTTTGTTTTTTTTGTTTTTTTGCAATTCGGCGATGCTTGCGAAAGACACCCTAACACCTTATGCTGGAGGAAGGAAAGAGAAAACAGTTAGAACAGGGAGAGGAGGTGTTTCCCAAGCGCACCACTCATTGGATGTCGCGGATATTAAAGGCTGAGTACCTGCATGGCTTGGCGATGGACTACTGTATAGTAGGGTGCGGGAAGGGTGTTTTGTTTAAGCAGAAGGCAGGAAACAACATGATCTTCTTCTTTTCCCTGGGATTAGTCAGGCCTAGTATCGGAGTTCAAATCCGTACTTGGGTAATCTTGCAGCGAAACGGGACATCAAAATTGCCGTGCCTGTTCAGGCAGCTCAAAGTGTTCAAGCAACAACCAAGACGCTAAAAGATGATTGATGATACCATTCAAGAAAGCGCTGGTCTAAACCACAATCGGCACGGAAGCTGACGACACTTCGTCGCCCCGGGGTTACATACTCCCCGAACCCTACCTAAGGTATCTAGACCTAGATATTGAGTGGCAACGCCCTAGGCTCATCCACAATCGTCACCTCATGCCCCCAAGCCATAGGCTTACCCACAGTTTCCCTCTGCCTGGCTTTCTTCATCACCTGCCTCGCCATCAAAATCGATTCGCTGCCTTCGTTTACCATCTTTCGCTGGTACTCATCCATCTTGTGTCGAAGTGTGTCGTCGCTCGACTGGTGTTTGTTTTCGGCCAAGAGCTTGGATAACCCAACTGCGTCTCTGATTGCGTAGATTGCGCCTTCTCCGCGACCTGTTCCCGGGAGGAAAAGGAAAAAAAAAGACATGGTTAGCAGCTCGCTGGTTTTGAACTGACTTGTATGTTTGGTTTATATGTGGCTGATGACAACATGTTTAGTAGAAAAGTTGAGAACCAGGGCAACTTACTCGGTGTCATCGGATGAGCGGCATCCCCAATCAAGATAACCCTGTTGATGGGAGGGATATCCTCTATCAGAGCGTCGTACCACGTCTGGATGAGACACTATTGTCAGTCCTTTCTTCTTCCCTCATCGCGAATTGATCCCATCACAGCACAAGACAGTCAGACATACCGTCACTTTCTTCATTCCCTCGACCTCCGTCTTTTCCACCGTGAGCCTGCGCTTTGGATCGAGCGCTTGCACCCTCTCCTTTGACTTGCGCAGCCTCTCTTCCGCCGTGCCCGTCTTGACCCAGTGGTCATCGCCCACGTCTTGACTCTCGATCGTCATCCAGTAATAGTCTCCGTAAGACCCATCATCGCCGACGCGATTCAGCCCGCTGAAGAAGACGAAGTCCCGTTCAAAGGATACAAAGCAAGAATAAGCCAGCTGGAGCTGACTCTCCATGTCGGCGCGGTTGAGACGACACTCGCCCATTGTGATTGTGGCATAGGTTGAAACCTCCAGTACCTCGGAGTTTGGTTTCTGGAGGACGTGTGGACGGACTATGGCATCAGTCAGGAATGGTTGTCAGCCATTCATTACGTTGTCTCCCCACCCACACCCGTATCGTTGTTATTCAATCCGCAAACAATTTGATGGAAAAGGGGAGGGGGCAACAAACCAGCACTAAAAGTCCCATCAGCACCCACAACCACGCTCCCCACCGCATGCGTCCCATCTTCAAACCACACCGTCACCCTATCCTCGCCCTCCTCGCTCTCCTCGATCTTCTGCGCTTTTTTTCCCCACTGGATATCAACATCGTGAGCCAAAACCTGCCTCAGACGTAGCCTGTGGGCTCTTATGCAGGGCGTCTCCGGGCTATCAGTCACGTACCCTGCCCTTCCATCGGGGAAGAACATGGCTACGCACGACGGCAGCTGGAGAGGGAGGAGGTGGCATGATGATCGGAGAGATGAGAAGACGTCATCGGGCAGGGAGCCACCGAAGAGCTTTTCCGGACTGTTTGTTGGTGCCGTATGTCAGTCGGTGTTTGGTGTCTAGAAAGGACGGCCACGTAGTGAAAGTAGAGAGACGGGAGGGTGAATACTCGTGAAGTCCAACGGCGTATCCTTGACCTCTCGCTTCAGCGCTGGCGTCACGCTCAAAGAGCTCGAAGCTGATGCCTTGCTTGCGAAGACCTTGGGCGAGTGTCAGGCCACCCAGACCGGCACCTATGATCAGGACGTGCAAGTCACTGTTGTGTTGGGCCATGATGATGGTTTGAGAAACTATTTTTGGCTGATGTAAAGACGGTGAGAGTCCTAGTTTAAGAGAACGTGTGCTGTAGGTGATGAGAATCAATGTCGAGCCCGGTGCTTCCTCTAGGATATCCGACCTCATATCCACCTCAAGGCTCCCCGCATAACCGCTCCTTCCAGTCCGCCGTCGATTCATACCGCGTATCACATTCCGGCAGTATCAAGCAATATTATTCGGGTGGTTGCGTCGCTGCAGTGCAAGTAGTATCATACCTTTGTGTAACGATGTAGCAGGTATAAATGAACTGCCCCTCACCGGCGAGCCGCTTTTCTTGACCGTAAGCTGGTTCGAGGTCCTGGTCAGGTTCCTAGTCCGAGCCTCAGTGTCACCATTTGATACTAACTGGTAGAACATCTGTCCAAAAGACTCTATCATGTTCCACCTGCTCCAAACTGGCCGTGTGGGCAGCTAAGAAATGGGAAGGCAAAGGGTGGTACCATATGTAAGTCAACGCGGACATCCGTCACAGAAAATGTTATCAATGCTTTTGAGTCGATACCCAAAAAGCATTGATGAGTTGGTATTCACGAGATTACCGATGAAAATTCATCAGTAGGAAGTCATTCGAACAACATTGGGCCAAGGCGGTTCTTATCGTCATGTTGCTCACACATGTTGGATGAAAACAAAAACTTTGACATTTCATTGTGATCCCAACACCGTCTTAACTCCGGTCGCTTGAACAGAAAAACGAGGGAGGACAAGCTGTAAGAACTCGACGCAAGATGCTGGTAACATCGTTTCGTGTAACGGCCGCACGTCTTGTGAACGACATCTTCAGGCTTAGATCTGACCCATGAATCCTCCACTCTGGTAAAACCGCATCTGGTGCTCTCGCAGGTCCGCCCAGCTCCTGAGTTCCATCTCTTCATCCTGCGGAGTCATGGTCCCGTCACTTCGGTCCGCGTTCCCTGGCCCAGTCTTCTCCAGCCTCATAAGAATGTCTAGAAAGCGGGTGAGAGGCTCTTGAGCTTTGGTGGCCATAGGCCCCTTACGCCCAGGAGCATCGTGGACGAGCGTGGAAGCCACCTGCCGAACCTTATTAATCAAGGATCCGCCATTGGGCTCCATGTTGCGTTGAGAGATAGAAGCAAGCACGATAAGGAGATTCTGAACGATGAGCTCACGCTCGGCGGTCATGTTCTCATCGATGGGATCAGACAGATGCTCCGCAGCAGCGTGTAGAGCAGCAGCCGCAACGCTCTTACTATCATGCGACACACCATTGCTAACGCCATTTTCCACGGCGGTGACTGCGGCATATGCTTGTGCCGCTTGGTTGCGGGTATGCTCGCGATGGGCGTCGCGGAGATTCAAGTAGCGTTCGACGTAGTAGGAGCGTGTGGCGACTTGCGAGGCATAGATATTTGCCTTTTGGATCTCATACTGAAGCAGGCGACGACGTCCCGGGTCGTTGTTGATGACATGCCGGATGTCTGAGGCCGGCTGATGTGCAGGATAGGCGGGTGGGCAATACTGAAATCCACTTTCGCTAAGAGCATCATGGGGCGCGGGAACTTGAGGTAGCTCACCCAGGCTTGTTGACACACCGTTGGCGGTATTGCTGTCTAAGTTCAGAGTAAGTTCTGGAGGCATGCCTTCCATAACCTGCTTCACAGCTTGCAAGCAGTCGTGTAACATAACCTTTTGATCGTGGAAGGGCAGTGTCGTCAGGCCGTACGACAGCTCAATGCTAACCAACGAGTTCATGGTCATGTAAATCTTGATGGCCTGGACGAAACCTGTCAGGCGGGACACGATAGAAGGGGGTTGCACCAGGATTTGGGAGGGAAGAATGTACTCGTCGTCCACTTCAACGGGGAAATCGGGATACGGCTCGGCGGGCGTAGGAGGTGGGAACACTATCTCGCCCATGGGTCCGCCGAGTTGCATCATTGAGCGGACACCGAGAAACATGACCCAGAAGACACGCTTGCCGATCTGGTCCTGAACATGATCGAAGGCAGGGCCTCGATAGGTGACAGCGAAAAAGTCCCGCGGTTTATGGTAGCCCAGTTCTCTGATCATGTTCGAAGTTTCTGACATGAAGCGGCGACACACCTTCCATTGCAAGGTGTAAGCAGCAGCCAGGCCGAGGAAATAACTTGTGGCTGCGTCGTAAACCGTCATGTCTTCTCGGTTGTAGAAGTATGTACCACGGGCTTCCATGGCCACATGGCGGCACCGGTCGACGAGGTGAATGGCTTTGGGGAAAAGATTCATGCCATGTTGTGACTTGAGATGCAACCGTGCTGTCCTGGGAAACGAGGCAACCAGAGAGCCAACCATGCTTGCGAGCAAGGCCAGAAACTCGTGGCTTTTCTGGTCTTCGCGGTTGGCCAATTGCTGACGGAAAGTAGGCTCGTGGGGAAAGGGCGTCAAGGGATGTATGTAGGTGAAGAAGTCGTCGACGAGAAGAATCAACATAGGCCATGGGGCTATAGCTTCTGCATCGAAAATAGCATGGCTCTGCCCATGCGCCTGTGAAGGGCCGGCCTGCGAGTTTCCAGCGATGGAAATCAATGTCTGGGCGGCATTGTGAGGCTGCGTATTGTGTCCCATGTTGTTCGGCAAGGCGGGTTCGAGTCGTGGACGCTTAGCCGCTCTGGCAGCTTCGGCATGCCTGTTGGGAGGACCTCGACGCCTCATTTCCCTATTAAATGTACAGTCTACCTGGAGGTCGCGGCATGGTCGGCAAGGATGAGTCTCATCACACTACATGTCGAGAAGGTGTTAGCTCTGAAATAAAGACACGTAATTTCCAAGTTCTGAATATCCAGGCTAAATTACCTTGACTTTCCTTGAACTACACATGTCACACGCCCTCCGCAGGCGAGTGGGCTTGGATTGGGGTTTGGCGGCTGAAGCAGAGGTCGGAGAGGCTGACTGGGAAGCCATCTGAAGTGCCTCTGTGTATATGGCCACTGTTTCAGGCGGGTATGCTTGATGAGTTGATATGTTCCCCGAGTCTATTGGTGGTTGTGATGGTTGACCAACAACGTCGGGAGCAGCTACGACAGCGGCCTGGAGAGCTTGGAGGTCATGGTTGGCAGCGGCAGCGGCTGTTGCTGCCAGGACGGTAGCATGGGCATCGACATCGAATATCGTCGAGGGTTCGGGTTGTGGTTGTGATTGGGATTGGGATTGTGATTGTGTTGGAGGAGGTGGTGGTTGAGAGTCTCGAGTCAATTGGGGTTGGTGATGGGTTTGTTGGCGTTGATGTTCGTGTTGTTGTTGTTGTTGTTGTTGTTGTTGTTGTTGCTGTGGCTGCTGGTGTGGGTGTAAGTGCCTGCTGTGGTCTGTGGAGACGCCTGTAGCACTACCAGTAGAGGCAGAGATCGAGTCGGGAGGCCTTGATTGTGTTGAGTGTTGTTGGTGATCAGATTGTCTTGAAGAAGAGTGACCCGTTACTATGTGCGATAACGTTGTTGCCGTACTACCAGCAGTGGCAGCAGAAGGGACATGTATAGATGGGATGGCCGATGATGATGATCCAGACATTCTGAACCTTAATGACGACGGCTTCGGTAGAATCGCGGATGAAGCCCAAATCAAAAGGCCGAATGAAGGAGGGAAAGATCCACTGGAGCAGCTGATAAGGCGGGATAAGTGATACCACGTGACCTAATCAGAGCTGTACAATCTAATACTGGGCATTTTGTTAGCTGGGTACTTCTAGCACATTGGACGAGGTCTGTCCCGAATTGTCCCCACTTGGTATTCTCAAACCTCATAAGGGCAATATGCAATAGCTACCCAAGTACAGATCTACAGACAGCGACAAAATTCTACATGGCAAAATCCGACATAGCATAGTCAAAGTACGATTGCCTATGTTATATAGAACAAACCGAGTTGATCTACCATGAAAACACCCAAGGAGGTTGGTCTGAGGTCTCAAACTAACAGACAAACCTCTATTGGACTGTACCTTGGTTCTTTCTCCACACCACCACTGCTCACATTGGCCAATTCCTTCTCACATCCATGTCACACTCGTCTTGTTCTCTCGGTTGCACTCGAACGTCTTCTTCAAAGTTCAATTGATTCCGACTGATGTTGATGATGGCATGTCCATTCAATACCACATCGCCGTTATCGGTCGTCCCCAGGACCAATACAAGAAGATGCCAATCCAGCTGGTAACCGCCGATCAATACACCGGCGGACTTGACCCCGACGACGCCAAACTTCAAAGGGTCAGCCCAGGAGGCGAGCCTTGAACTTCCATGGCAGCCAATTGCTTTCATCCAATGGTCAGAAGATCTTCACGGAACAAGCGCCGGGAGATTTACACTACACTACACTACCGTGACTACTTACAGAGTTGAATTCCGCTTTTCCGCTCTGCGAAAAAGACCGTGAAAAGCCGACTGCCTCTGTTAGGTACAGCGCGGACAAAACACCCACGCAAAAATTAGCAAACAAGGCCCTGAGGACGTGAGGGTTCCAAGGCGAGATAGAGACGCGAGGTTACATCGCATATCATCATGCTGTTGTCGGACTCATCCTCCAGGAAGCGAATACACGAGGTCGTGCTCGGTCTGCCGGCAGTTGTCGATTGAGGGTTAGGGTCTCTTTGAGTCACTCTTAGTGGCCATGGAGCCCCAAACCAACGGTTAAAATCGACGGCTTCAAAGTCAGCGGTCCAATCTCAGCACAGAATTCTTGATTCTTCTCGCCGGAGACCGGGTACGTTTACGGTAGCCTACACTACCTTTCCTGGGCACGGAACCGTGGGGGTTGGCCCCCAAATAGGTCCTACCTCCAACGATGGGGAACCAACGGCTCGATTGTGATTGTAACAGACCTAGAGAGTATGAATTCTTGAATTCATGGGCATCAACTACACTCATATCGAACCCAAGGCATGGATGGCAAATACCAGACACAGAACAGCAAAATAAAGTACACCTCTCCACCTCGATCCACGGGACAGCTCTCCTATCGACAGAGCGGTTAACCTTGGTGATCAATACATCATCCCCCCGGTATAGGACTGTGCCGCACATGGACATTTAGGGAATACTTTAGCGAACGGAGCAACGCTATTCCGTATTATTGCATAGACAAAAGTGGTCTGCATCAGACATAAGTCGCCCCGAATCCTCAGACCCTGCCTCGACCAGTATTCTTGTTCTCCGTATCTGTCTACATGCCATTACGGCCAGCCCTTTTTCGTCACCTATGGATCGCACCCGAATGATACAAACGTGGGAGTCATCAGCAACAAGCCGCCCAGAGAAAGCTTGACAGACGGACGGACCCTTAAACGCCGGCCCACCCATCCTTCTTTCTGTTGTACCGCTCTGGGCCCATTCCGAATCGAGCAAGTGGCATTTCCAAGACGTCTCAAAGGAGCCTTCCGAATCTCTTACAAAGCATTCACAAATCGTGCCATTGCACGCCTCCGGCCTTCTGGAAGCACAAGCGGGAAGCAGACAACTTTTGTTTCAACCCAGGAGATTGGTGCCCCTTTGACGACTGCTAATTCATGTCTTGGCCTGCTGCGGCTTCAAGTTCGCCGGACCTGGCACGTCGGTTACCGGATCCGAATGCCTGCGCCATGATTAGCTCGGGGGCCATCCACTCCAAGGAGGAGTGGGAGATGTGGAAGAAAACCATCACGCATCTGTACTTGTCCGAGAAGAGAAAGCTCCGAGATGTAAGGGAGGTCATGATCCAGAAACATGGGTTTCGCGCGACGTGAGTGGAGATCCCAAGTTTCCCCTTACACACCCTGAACCACGGTTTGCAATGACTGGCGTAGTCTGACTTTTCGGTTATCCCGTTGAAGCATACACCAGTACAAGATCAGACTCCAACAATGGGGCCTCGAAAAGAACAACAAGGTAAGACAAGGTTCCGGTCGGTACAAGCATCATGGTCCCAGCTTTGCTTACCCGATGTTTTTCGTTTCCTAGGAGAGTGACATGAGATTCATGTCGACCAAGGCTGCTCAGAGAGCTGCTCAGGGCAAAAAGTCGGCCTTCCGCGTCAGAGGCAGAGAGATATCACAAGCTGAGCTCGACCGATACTGGCATCGCAAGCATCATGGCCACCAAAAAGCTTCCTCCCCGGGGGGCGGGGAAGATATTGACCTGTCCAATATGCCGGATGAAATCGAGTGCTACACGCCTGTGAGCAGTCGTCCCAGCTCTCCAAGTCCGCCCGGTCTGGACCCCCCACAGCCGCTCGAGGTCATCCCCCGCGACCCAGTTGCGGCTGCAGCCGAACTCGTGGCGATCCACCGGGATCCTCCCGCTGCGCCAAACCAGCCTGTCGGGACACCTATCGGCACGCCTGTCAATATCGCGACACCCCCAGCCCTAGCAGCACCGATATCACCACCCAATACCGAGCTGGCCAGCCCTACAAGTGTCAAGCCAATCAAATCACGACGACCGAGCTCACCTCCAGAAATACTGCTCCTACGACAGCAGCAGCGGCGGAAACCACCAGTTGTGAAGAATGAGGACGACGACTCGCCCGAGAGCAGTCCCGACAACTGGCGCCGCAAGCGCAAACTCACCGACCTACACCCTCTCACGCCACCGGGCCACCTCCTCTCGGTGCAGACTGTGGTGACCGGCACGCGGGACTTTTACGTACGCTTCGTGCACTCGCAGGTAGACGAGTCGGACGTGGTGCAGCAGCCGCCGCACTGGAACCTGCGACGATTCTACGAGCTCGCCCTCTCCGTGTCGGCCCAGCTCTCGCTACCTCAGTGGAACGACAAGCGCGACAGCATCGTGACGCTCTACAACGACACGCTCGACCAGATCCGGCCCATCCTCACTCCGGACCCGAACCCGCTGCTGTTGACGTGCATCTTTCAGGTCTGCTGCCGCTTCTGGCAGGACGGCAAGGCGCTAGCCCTGCACTACCTCCTCAGCTACATCCGGCACGAGGTCGGCCAGCTCCACGGGCAGTCGCATCCGCTGTACGCCGTCTGCGACTCCCTCCTGCGCAGCCCCGAGGTGCTGTCGGATCTGGTGGTCACCAGCCTCCGCTGGGCCGTTAACGGCTTAGCCGAGCGGCTGGGCGAGGAACACCCGCAGACGCTGGCGGCCGCAAGGGGGCTGTACTCGGCTCTCTACGCGCAGGGCGACCTAGCTGCGGCGAAGCAGTACATGGTCGCGGCCGCCGCGCTGGAGGAGAAGGCGCACCCGGAAGACACGTACGGCAGGCTGGACTCGCTGGTCAGGGTCATTCATTGCGAGCTGGGCATGAACGACATCACGTCCGCGCTGGAGAATCTCAAGATCTTTGAGAGCACGCTCGATAGCCTGTCGGGCGCGGCCGACTGGCGGATGCGGCTGTGTTACTTGAGGGCCAAGGGCGAGGCGCTGAGGCAGCAGGGAGACCCGAAAGCGATCGAGGTGCTCGAGGAGTCGCTGAAGTTGGCGAGGGAGAGCAGTCCGTTGCAGAATGGCTGGTGGGCGGTGGTGTCGGGGGAGAAACACCTGGCGTATGCGAAGCGATCGGCTGGGTCGATGGGTAGGGTGGTGCCTTATCCGCTTCCTTGTTGATGACCTTCCAGCCTCGTCCTTTGGCCGCCAACACGCTGACGACGAAAACGCTGAGATGTTGCGTTGAGCGCGCCCATGTCCGAAAAGGTCTCGGCTTTTGATGTTATGGGCGTGGCCGGTCGATGGATGGGCTGGAGATGCTTTTGTTCATTTTTTTGTGTTCCTTTCATACAAGGAACAGGGGAGTTAAAGGAGTTGGGACCTGCGAAAGAGAGACTACAAGGTTGTTGCTTGCTTCTTTATATGTTGCCGCTGATGTTGTCTGTCGTTAGGTGGTTTGTCGGGGAGTCGGAGAGGTGCTGCATCCTGCATCCAACTTCTGTAAGGAACAGTGAAATGTGGGGACGGGACGGCTCAGGGCTTATGTAACGTGCGAGACGGTTCAATATCACTTCGTTGAAACGTTACAGATGGAACTAGAACAGCCCTGAAGCTTTCTTTAACGAACTTCATACCTTGATGGACACACTTTATGATTCGTAGACTCGTTTGGTTACAAATGCATTACCAATTCACAAGGTCGGCCGGAATGTGGTCGCCGAAGGAACGTTGAAACAAAATGACCGGCGGGAAAACTACACAGCCCCAGGTCCAGTCCGGGTAGCACCTGCCCTAAAATGCCCTAGCGCTGCACATCATTCAGTGGAGGTGCACGGGCCTGCAGTTTCTAACCACAGCGGACATCAGGCAAGGGCATCCCTCGGTCGGGTCTCACGGCGAGCCGTGCCGTGCCGTGCCGCTCTTGCGCTTGTCACGAACCAACTCCCTCCCGTCCTCTCTTTCCTATTGTGAGGCTCTCTTTCTATCTCCAAGAGGAAGTTGTCACTTACCAACAGATTGTGTCATTTGGGAAATTGATGGAAAATTGGCAAACCCTTTCTCAAGTTCCGATCCCCCTTCCTCTGCCTCTTCATCAGGCCGATCGCTTAACCGAAAATCTACCACACTGGCTTCCGTCCTCCCGGGCTTCAATTCACGGGGACCAGACTCAGCATCCACTGTCTGATGATGGCTTCAAAAGCTTCGCGTCCGCTTGGTCTCCAAACACTCTTTTATTCCGACGTCGACTAATGGGCTGATGATATGACCAACTACAGAGCACGCCTATTCCGGCCATATCATCTCGAGACTTGCTCTGGGCCCGCACCAGACACTTGCAGAAAAGGATGCCTCAAGATCTCTTCAAGTGTCATCCTTTGTTCAGGGAACCACTTGAAGATACTTTCCAAGAGATCCAGAAACATGTCCACCTTCTCCTTCGGCAATCCGCTCCCCATCACCTCCAGATGGAGCGGGCTCCATGCCCCGTCTCGCCTATGCTCTTTCCTCCAGTCCCTTAGCTCCTTGTACCTAAGGAATCCAACATGCGCCGGATTAGACGGAAACACGGTATTTTTCCCTTTATGCAGCTGCTTCCACGCATTTCGATATGGTGCGGGGATAGGGCCAAGGAAGAATTCCATCTCGGCCAGCACGTCGGTATCGGGGCGTCTGAGGACCGAATTCCAGGTGTTGTCTCGGAAGGCAGTACGCCCCATGTATATCTTGACCATGGAGCAGCCCAGCGCCCATATGTCACTTTCCATGCTCGTGCATCCGTACTGGTGTATGATGCACTCTGGCGCCTTATAACTGACGGGAATCAGCGTCTTGTGTACCAGGTCCCAAGAGTGGTGCCAGGCTGCGCCCATGTCGATTACGGTCGCGCGAGGAGCCTGGAGGCCTGGTTGTCCTACGAGGCCACGTCAAGTTTTTCGAGCCAGAGTCTCCCAGAGTGCCTCGACGTCACACGTTGCCGGAAAGACGATGTGATGTGGCTCTTTCATTGCCGTGGGATTCTTCAGCTCAACTGCTTTCGGCTGGCCATAAACTTGCAAGATTTCGCCTTGACTAAGTTTATCCAGGTGAGGTAAGTCAAACAGGATATTTGCCGGCCGAAAGTCCCCATGGGCGATTCCCATCTTATGCAGCTTCTGGAGAGCCTCTGCGATCTGTCGACAGGCAAACCGGCTGGCGTAATCGCTCCCGTACTGCGAGCACAAACCCTCGTCGCAAAGATGGAGAATCCCCTTATTGTCCACCCTGGGGCCCAGCAAAGGCAGCACGGAGCAGGTATAAGTCGCCTTACCGTCTTTTCCTCCCCTGATGGGGAACTGTTCGTACGGAATGGCGACCTGATACTCAGTTAGCGCTTTTTCGGGGGTGATACCCGCACGCTTGAACTCCTTCAAAACGCGAAGGTCGTTGTCGGCAGTCCCTCGGCTATGCATCTTGATGGCTTTCCATCTTGAAGGAGCATTTGCGGGAGGCTTCGTGTCCTCGACCAGCCAGACGGTGCTGTAGGTTCCATGCCCGAGCTTGTTGATGACACGCAATATCTGGTCGGCTTTCTTTGATCCGATCTCCGTATTGATCTGTACTGGAAAGATCGCCCTGATGAGTAGTACTTAGGGTCCTCTATGTTGCCCTTGACAGTTTCGTCTGCGGTGATTATCTCCACCTGGATTTTGGCAGGACTCTCTGAGCGAGCGGCACACATCGTACTGTAACGGGGCCTGATATTCTCGCGGAGTAGTTTTACGGTAAGCCAGCCGGCGAGGCATAGAGCAAAATGCTAATTGGAACACACTATAGCCCCTTCAAATCGTTCTAGGCTCAGAGTGCTTTTAAGTTGAACCCAGACAATAGTCCAGTCCGTACCTGAACTCCGTTCACGTTCCAGTGTCTGCCAAGCTGTCTGGCCTGGTATCTTCACCTACATGAGATGTAAGTCTCCCACATACCTGCGACACTTCTATATCTTTCTTGAGACCTCTTCAGCGGCCCTCTTTCCGTTCCTGGCATCTTCTCTCTTGAATGTCTTCCGGCAGCATCAAACGGCCTTCTTTGACCTGTGACGATCCACGCACACATCACGGGCTTTGTTCGGCAACTTCCCGCGTTGTTCCGTGATGCAGTCACCGACGGACTGGACACTGGTCATCATCTTGTTTCATCCCATACTCTTTATGCCCGACCTGACTCTTCCACAGAACAACCTACAGTCTTCGATCAACAGCATATGGTTTCTGGAATGCTTCCATTCGCGCATCATTCCGTGATGTGGTCGCCGATGGAATGGATACTCATCGTCGTCCTGTCTCACCTCTTCTCTTCTCTTGTGCCGGAACTGACTCTCACCCAGTTCTACAGCCTTTCATCGAACCTCCCCACGGTTTCTATGATCTTTCCATTCGCCTTGACCTCTCTTTTTGTGGAACCTGACTTACATGAACGTCACTCCACCAAACGTGTCAGCCAAGGAGATCCCGGTGGAAAAGCCAAGGGGCCAAGCTCTCTTGACATCTTGTTGATTCGAACAATATGACGTGAGCCCAGCGAGAAAGTTTCGGACGACTCAGTTTTGCTGATTAAAATCATCGGGGGTTCTGTGGCTCGTTTATTTAAATGCTGAGAGGTTGTCGTTCTTTTTGCCAAGAAATGCGAAGAACTTACACGGACGGCCAAGCAACACTCCTCCTACCATTATCGATGCTATATTGATCCATTCAAACACTTGACGAAACAAATTGAACAATTGACTAACAAATGTGATGTCTCTACAAGATGGCACTCTACCTGTAAGCATTCCTCTCTTTGATGTTTTGTTTTGCCCCCGATCTCCCCTTTCTTCCAGGTCCAAAGGCCCAAAACTAACCTCTTCTTACTCCCCACTCAGGATGAAGTCGCCCGCCCCAAGTCCGTTCCCAATGGCAGTGAATGGGCCATTTTAGGCGGCATTCCCTCGGAAGGCGTCGACATCCCCATCTCGTCCGTCTTCATCCTCCTCTTCGCCATCGCGGCCGCCTGGCACCTCTACACCTATTTCGCCATCGACCGGCGTCGGCTCCCGGCCCAGCGACACTTCTTTGCCATCATGTTCGTCGTCTTCTCGATGCTGCGCATCCTGTCGCTCATTATGCGCATCATCTGGGCCGCCTCGGTCACGGACCCGCACATCTCCGAGAAGGTCGTCGCCGTGCCGGCCCGCGCCTTCACGACCGCGGGTAACACGCTCATCTACATCCTCAACTTCCTCATGGTCCGCCGCCTGAACCGCGACTACGCCCTCTTCGGCTCGCACCCGGCCCCGCTGCGCATCTGCCGCTTCCTCATGTTCGCCACCCTGGCCTGTCTGGTCATGGTCATCACCAGCCTCGTCGACAGCTACCACGTGCACACGGGCTCCTTGGCGCAGCAAGGGCGCGCGGTGCAGCTCGCCGCTTTCACCATCTTGACGGTTCTGGCGTTCAGCCCCGTCCTCTTCGCGGTTGTCGGCCACGCGTTCCGCGACACGGGCAAGATTGCCAGCTCGCAGGAAGAAAAACGCCGGTACAAGGCCCGGCTGGGCCTGGTGCTCATCTCGGCTCTGCTCATGACGCTGGACGTCGGGTACGAGTGCGGCGTGGCGTATAGGAGGAGGCCGGTGGAGAGGCCGGCGTGGTGGCATCATCGTGCTGCGCTGTACTTGTCGGATTATCTGTTGGAGCTGTTGATGACTTGGATCTTTGCGGTGGCGAGGGTGGATGGAAGGTTTAGTATACGGAGGGAGAGGTTGGAGAGTCGCGATGGCAGCTTTGCGCCGCCGCAGCGTGTGGACTCGGGTATGACCATGGGCATGGGAGATGAAGAGGTGCGTCGTTATCATGGGCAGGATGGTGAGGGGAATGAGCATGAGCATGAGCATGACTATGATCATGGCCACGACCACGATCACGATCACGATCATGATGGGTTTTGGAAGGAGGTGCACATGGGGGCTTCTCATGGCCCGCACGTTCAGGACCGTTCGGGGAGGAAGAGGTTTGTGGATAGGATTAATACAGATGAGGATATTTTTGGGTCGGGCTAAAAAAGGTGGAGGTTATCCGGAGAGAAGAAAGGACATGACACGGCCTGGTTGCCCGTGTTTCGTGTTATGACCCGGAGGTTAGGTTTTGGCTGCAACTTTGGGAGATATTCGACTCTATAGATGGTGGACAACCTCTGTCCCACTTCTTGTGTATAAATGATGTTACGATATTAGGAAGGGAAATGTCATTGTTAGACGGTTCATGTGTACCTGTACTCACTAGAATGAATTTTATGGAGTAACAGAGGTCCGACATATTTTCAAGTGGTCAAGTTCTAAAACTTCACCGTCAATGGTCCTTCTTTTTAACGATTGGCCGACACCAATTACCAGATCAACAGAAAAGCAAAAAGAACAAAGAAAACAGCAACGGGGAAAATGAGAGACGAAGCAACAAAAGATATGTCAAAAAGAAAAAGAGGGAAAAAAAGAATTCTTTGGTGATCATCGGATATGTCAAAAGAAAAGAGGGAAAAAAGAATTCTTTGATGGTCATTCGTGCGACGTGGGCCTGATTTGAACAGACGCTCCCGAAGGAACAAGATTTCTAGTCTTGCGCATTAGACCACTCTGCCACCACGCCATTGGTCGTTGTTGTTGAATATTAGAGCGGAGAATCCACTCTTGAAGTCGGGTGCACCAGCAGCGCGCGGCGCCTTGGGATCGCTTGAAGAAGAGGAAGACAGGACTGGTGAGATTGGGTCGGGACGGAAGAACTAAGAAAAAGGTTGGGAAACGGGAATGTCTGGATGATGCATCTAAAGCCTTTTGAAAGAGGGAAGTAGAATTGAACTGAAGCACAAAGGTTTCTCCTCTCCATCCTCGTCGTGGCTGGGAAGGTACCTCTGTCTCTAATCCACCACTCAAGAGTTTCGTTCCACTGTGCCGGTTCTTTCGAATATTCCTTCAATGTTCTAATTTTCCATGTTCCATCGAACACACCGAACATGCCCCGTGGGGAATATCGTCTGCAATAATTGATCGTGCCTACCTACCGAAGTTCTTCCGGCATTCATCTCGTTACGGTTTCAGTGTTGTTCCGCCGTTCTTCCCCCGATTGCCCCTGTGAACCCAGAACCACGTAACCCCGAAACCTGGAAGGGAAGGCATTGCGTTGCACCGCAATACCTCGGAGATCTTGGTTGATCTTTCTGCCCTCCCTGCTTCCCTCCCACATGCCGTGAACTGTAAAACCGTACCCCGGAGGAGCTTAGCTTTTTTCAACATTCCCTGGAATCCATGAATCCATGCCATGCCCCCCTTGAACTTTTTGACCAGGGGCTGCTGTTCCAGAGTATCACCACCTTTTAAAAAGAAGAAATCCCACCAACCCGGTGCGGGCTCGCTGCCAAGACGTTGCAATTACTGCTACTGTCTCGTTTCGATGCTGCGAACACCAGGACTTACGAACACGCGAAAAGAACTGCGAGCGAACCGCGAAATGAAAGTGCATGGCAACTGCCGGTACCCATGACAGCATCAAGAGGAGCTTTGAGAGCCGGGGAAACCCCCCAAAAAAACACTCATGAGAACCGCTTTCCACAACGTAAGAACTTGGGGTTGTAAAAACCATCTTCTCCCCGGGAACAATGCGGATGGATAGATGGTGCTGTGGTCAGTCAACACATACATAATCCCACAATACGTAAAACCCAATATTGAGTTGAGACTAAAACTCGCAATGTAGAGAATCCGGGGTGCATGCGTCTCGTCTCATGTGCACTCTTGACAAGATCTGGTTGCTTTAGCCTTGCCCTTTTGGGATGATCGCAACTAGTCACTCCGTTGATGTCTTGATGCAGCGGAAGCGCAGAGACAGAGATGGGATGGAGCGTATGTAGACCGGGACTAACCTGGAACATTGGCAGTCGAGGTCCGTCGAAGGCCCCCTTCTCATGACTGACGGAATCAAGAGGTACATGGGTATCTTCTAACCCTGACAAGTGACGGAACTATAGCGCCCGGGGGCAACTCTAGACGTGTACAATACTCGAATACATCTATCGGAGTAAAAGTAGGCTACTCTTTCCCTTTACAGTTACCTGATGCCCGAGGACCGGGGGAGAAAGGGGATACCAGGATACAACCTACGACATATGTCCAGATAGACCAGACAGGGCCATGTTTCGAAGAGAACCCACCCCTCTCCGAAGCCTCAAAACCCCAAAACCCCGATCGATCATGGCCTTTCTGGGATTGGTGGAAGGAGGCATGAAACCGCCGAAAAACGAGCGGACGAACTAATTCTAGTCTATTTTGTGTGGATCATGGAAATGGGGATATCGGAGGAAGGACTGGACGGACGGAGAATGCCACGGAGGCCGTTTAGTGTACGACGTCAAACATACCTCCTTACCGACCGAAACTACACTTGACGATACAAAATAATCTTCGACATGGGCTGGGATTGGGAATGGGAAGAGTAATACGGACTTAGTTAGATAGTGTAGGTGTGGGTAGTGGGTAGTTGGACTGGAACTAGGGACCGTTCGTTATTAAAAGGGGACGACATGACGCGACCATCCCATCCAGTCGTCGATATTGAATCAGTCAAGCTCATCATCGACATCTTATCTTGAAGAAGAGTTTACCTTCAGACTTACACGACCTTCCTTACCTTCCAACACACCAGTCAACCAGTCAACCACCAGCTACCAACCACCACAATGTCCCTCAACATGAAGACCCTCTCCCTCCTCGCCGTGGCCTCCATCGCCTCTGCAGCCACAACTAACACAAACCTCCAAACCACCTTCCCCAAGCCCTCCGGCACCACCAACCTCGCGGCCGTCAAGACCGTCGCCGCAGGCGGCAGCTTGGACGGCGGCATGTACCAATGGGACCGGTCTCCTTCCACCTGCAACGACCAGTCCGAAGGCGGTGATGCTGATGCCGTGTTCATCCTGGAGGACGGCGCGACGCTGAGCAATGTGGTGATTGGCCCGAATAACGGGGAGGGCGTGCATTGTTTGGGGAAGTGTACTTTGAATAATGTGTATGTTTTCTTCTTTCTTTTTTTCTTGTTCGTTTCCCTTCTTGGTCATCCCTTTTTGTGCCTTTATCAACGAACGAGCATTAGCTAATAATGATGGACGGGGGAAAACAGCTGGTGGACCAACGTCTGCGAAGACGCCGCCACATTCAAGCAATCCTCGGGGACCTCGTACGTCAACGGCGGCGGCGCGCGCGGCGCCGAAGACAAGGTGTTCCAGCACAACGGCGGGGGTACCGTGGCCGTCAAGAACTTCTACGCCACCGACATCGGCAAGCTGTACCGGTCGTGCGGCAACTGCGCGACGCAGCACGCGCGCTCGTCGACTTTTACCAACGTCCGCGTCGAGGGCGCCAAGGTGGTGGCCGGTGTGAACGCCAACTATGGCGATACGACTACCATCAAGAACTCGTGCCTCAAGGATTCGAGCATCTGCTGGATTTACCAGGGCACCAGCAATAATAGCAAGGAACCGACCAAGATTGGAAGCGGACCTAGCGGGACCGCTTGTGTTGCTTCGGCTGTTAAGACTTCTGGTTGCTGATTTCTGGTTAAGAGGGAGGGAAGACTGGTCGTTGGAGAAATTAGTGTGGTGTCATCAAGAGGGGAGGCGAGGAGTTGTACATATCGGGGGACGTTGATGGCAGCATGATGTTGATTTTTGTGTTTCAATTCCTTCAGAATACCAGCGGGTCTCAAAATGCTGTGCACATGTTGTGAACAGTATTGGAGGCTGTATATAATTTCTCGTTTGGAGTACATACCAATTTGAAAAGCAAAGGTGACTGCAGGAACACCCACCCAGACCTAAACACCTTACTGTAATCCGCAATAACTGGTATCTGCTTCCCGATGATGAGTTCGACATCTTGCGCTTGGGCGCTTGAACTCCTAGTATACTGTCTTTTCCCTCTCGGAGTACGAACCCGCCCCATGCCATGTGACCTTTTTCCCTAGACGCCGGATTCTTGCTTGCCATGTTGTAAAAAGAACCTAAAAATAAGTAACATGTACCATGGTCATCAAACAATCTCATCGTGTGACATATCAGGAGGCGGCCAGTGGGACCATCTACCATGCCCGGCCTGTACGGCACAGAGCAAGCCCATGTATTTTGTGGCCCACAGAACCGCAAAGTGCAATAACAACAGGGAAACGCTTGTCTTCCAACCTACAATCGTTCCCGCCCAATAGTACTGCTCATTGTTGTAGGCAGGAACAATGTCAGAAGTGACCCTGACCAGGTGCCCATCATGGCCGTCCAACTGGTTTCTCTGGTCGTTTGCTTGCTCATTGCTGCTTGCTCGCCTACTCCCGGGAGAGACCCCAAGCATGGCATTGCTCTCTCTTCTTGGTTCCGGGTTCCCAGCCGGGTTCAGTAGGTCCAGGATCGCCAGGGCAAAAACTGACGTCAGAACACCAAGATTGGAAGCATATGGCCAACAGGTCCACGACAGTGAGAAGATCTTGATTCCCAAAAAGGCAAGCCTGAGCAGCACTTCAAAGGAAAGCCCATTTGCCGCCAGCCACCTCCCAGCGTGATATTGTGTTAGCACTGCGCGGTGCTTCATCTGCTCAAGCCGGGTGCTGGCGGGGGCATGAGCAAGGGGGTTGTAATGGCTGGCGGAGAAGGCTGCGGAGGGACGACGCTGCCGTTCCGAGAGACTGGCCCGAGTCCAAACCTGGGGCTTTGAGGCTCGGGCGACGAGGGTACATGGTCACGGCTGCGTGACAGCGTCAACGATTGGGACTGCGTACGCGTGTGGTGGGGACGATGATCGGAGCACCATTTTGGTGGGTATCAGATACTGGCGTGTAACCGTCGACTGACAAAGGAAGATCCTCGTCTGGAGATGAAGACACTTTGGCATGTCTGTGGTCTGCTGGCGGAGGAGTAGTCAGTGAAGGCGCATCCGGGGAGGACGGGACGGGTGACTGACCTGGCACAGGCGTGCTGGGAGGCATGGGGGAATCTAGGTCTTGTATCCTCCGCCCAGCTAGGCCAATCGAAGGGATAGAACCTGTAGATGGACTTCCCACCCCGTCTAGACTTGACTCATTCTTCATGACACTCAAAACCTCATTGGCACTCGGACGCTCGGCTGGGTTAATAGCAAGAAGCCGCTTAAGCAGCTGATAGAGCCTGGCGGGGAGGTCAGGGCGCTCGCGTCGTTCATCCTCGAAACCTTTCCAGTCCGTGATCTCAGTACGCAGCAGATCAATATCCTCCAGCTCCTCATGGAGCGAATTGGCATTGGCGTATGGCAACCTCCCGAAACACATGAAGTAGAGGATCATCCCGAGCGAGAAAATATCGGATTTGGTGGTAAAGTTCCCATACTTACCGCTGGCATCCTTGATCAACACCTCGGGAGCACAATAGGAAATGGTGCCAGTCGACCCGGTTGACATTCGCACAGCGTTTTCGGGTTGGACCTCTCCGAAATCACTGATGAGGCAGCTGGTACGGCCACCCTCGCGATGTAGAAGGCAGTTGCTGGGTTTAAGATCCCTGTGAATGTAGTTGGCGGCGTGGAGATAGGCAAGACCGGAAGTGATATCCTTGAACAGCGAGAAGATCTCCTTGAAGGGTAACTGCCGCTGTGACAAACTAGGTCGTTCTATGAACCCCTTGGATCGACGGCGTCTTTGGGCCTTGATCTCCTCTATGGTTGGCTCCTTGAGCAAGTCGCCAATGACATAGTTCTGCAGATCACCGCCGTTACAGTACTGCTGGAGAATGAAGGCACATGCGACTTTGGGGCCGAACTTGTTGATCTTGACATCCTCAACCCACGAGAAGCGGTACGAGACCAGGTTTGGATGCGACAGTTTGGCGAGCAACTCGACTTCGACAAGCACCTTGCCCAGCCAGGCATGGTCATCGCCAACGGGCACACGCTTGCAAGCAAAGTGACCTAGGTTGCAACCATCAATCTCATGGCGCACAAGCATAACGACGCCCTTGCCACCGCGGCCGAGGGTACGCTCCTCGTGGAAAAAGGTTTCGAAATAGTTTGGGGCAAACGCCTCTTTCTTAATGCGAGTGGTCTCGGGAGGCACAGGCTCGCTACTGACGAATTCGGCATTCTGTACACCAACTTCGTTCCCACGATCGTCTATGGCGGGAACAGGACGGACCAAGCGGCGGATAGGGCTCGAGGGCGGGCGTGGGTTCGAGGGACCCTGACCATTGTGGCCGTCGCGCAACATGCGAAAGTAGTCGGGGTCGACATAGGATTCGCGACGGTCCGAGTCATCATCGACATGGCTCTCGGGAGAAGACGTTCGTAGGGGTTGGTGACAAGTGGGACATTCGTGAAGCTGGAGACCGCGGATCTCGAGGCGCTGGGTGAGGGGATCGCGGACGACAATGGCATTGCGATGGCGGCTGTAGGGGCGCAAGAAGGAAAGTCAGCGGCTTTGACTCTTTTTTTTTTTCCAATTTTGCTTGCCGGGAGTGGCCGGGTAAGAGGAGGGGTGACATGACATGACGTACAGGACAATTTCCCGCCCTTCGCGGGGGTGGTATGGGATGAGTGACATGACTGCTGCTGCTGACTTGCTAAGCTCTCTCTGGGTGATGGTGGTGCGGTCCTCAGGACTTGGAGCTCGAGACGGAGAAGCCCATTCTGTTGATGGGCTTTAAATCGCCGTGTCGGGGCCGTAGATGGTTGAGAATGTCTTTTCTTTCTTTGTGTCTTTGTCGCTGTTTGTGGTTGCTGGTTCTTGTTGCGGGATTGGAGCTGTGGGAAGCTTCCGTCTTTTGTTGCTTGAAACTGAATCGCGAGGATGGGAATTTGTGAACCTTGATGGGAGATGGATGTGTCAAAGAAGTGGAAATTCCCTTGGGAACGGGAGAGTTTGACGGCGGGGGCGGGCCCTTGTCCTTTGAGTGCCCATGAATCCCCTGAGGAAGCTTGTCTGCAACTAGCTTTTTAGCGGGCAATTTGACTTTGAACAGGTGCGTTGCACCCAGCAAGACCCGGTGACGGAACGGGAAGTGGCGTTAGATGCTGTGGTCATCAACCCCTAACGGGTTAGAGGGGGCCAGTGCGCCTGTTAAAAGAAGAGCATCCGGGACTTACTTGTGTGACATGACGTTTGAGAACTGGCACTGCCTTAACAACTGAACTTCGTTAACAATTTCCTTCTCTCTCGGACTTTGCAATTTGCATTGTCGCATTCAGTTCCATCTCTCCCCAAACTTCAACACCATCGCGACACAGCATCTCAAACAACTTTCCTCTTTTTTTTTTTAAAGTCTTCAGCATTTAATTGCATCTACATATTCCTCTATTTAAGTGGGACTATGTATATCCCCTACTGCGCTGCCGGCAAATGGCCCGTCTCTTAACCCTGCTGGTGCAATATCTACTTACCTCTACCGTTCCAGCAATGTCTGGTTCCGATGCGGATAAAGTCATGATAAGGCTCGGCGGGGGCCCGGTGGTATCCTGATGCCGTCTTGTCCAGCCGTACCACCACGACCTCGACAAACACCCTCGATCTTCCCGTCTTTTGCGTCTCTTGGAAGCAGATCGTCAGATGCGCCGTCGCACAACAGAAGCGCCACGATATCCCCTCGTCCTCATCTGCGCCGCCCTCCTCTGAACTGGTGCGGCCGCATATCCAGTGCCATTGGCCTGGCTCCCCGGTCCAAAGTCAGGCTGTCCTCCCAAGCTGCCAAATATATCGCCAATATAGTTGGTTGGCTTGATTCCCGTTTGGAACGTCTGCTCCCAGCCCTGTAGAATCCCTCGAACAATCTCGGCCCCCGCCTTGCCTAGGTTGGCCACCGCAGTTGAGAAGCCGTTCTGGTCCTCCAGCAGGTGCTGGTATGCCGTGACGTTGGGCGGGGGCCTGTCAAAGTCTGATCCGGTTCGAATCACAAGCACGCGGGAGAAGTCGACGAGGCCTTGGATGGCGCCGCGGACGAGCACCTCAAGGACGGCGTTGTCTTCCTGTGCCGACATGCAATACTCGCCCGTCCCGTTGGTCCACACTTGCGAGACCGCCTCAAAAGCCTCGCTCAGCAGAGTTCCCGTGTAGTACACATCGCTGGTAGCTGTGTCGCATTTGACAACAGTCGGCAGTTCAGTCGCAGCAGCATACTCGGCGCCGGCCTCCCTGTACTTGGCTCGGTACTCGGCCACTGCCGGTGAATCGGACAGCTCCGCCTTTTGCGCAAACCCATAAGCTGCGTCTCTCAACGCATCGTTGACTTCAAACACCTCGGTGCCATAGATGCTGGCAGGGTATTCGCTCGGTCCCTCGGTGCCGTAAGCAAAGTATCCAGTGCTAAAGTTGTCGGGCTTCTCGCGGGCATCTAGCTCGTACTGCAGAGTGACCTGGATGACATAGCGTGAGAGCGCAACACCGCCGAGTGTCGAATACTTGGGGTTGACACCAGCAATGCCCCCGACGGCAAAGTACGTCTGGGTGAGATTGAACTTATCCGAGAGCACCAGCGCCATGGCACTCGCTGCCGCGTTGATCTCCCCCTCTCCGGCTGTCAATTGGCATACAGAGTGATCCGCCGTGCACAGTACCTGAGGGTACAGCATGGACAACCCGGGCATGTCGATCTTGCTGTCGTTCAAGTTTCCGGTTCCCGATTCCACCATGCTCGTCTTCCATGCTTCCGATTCCGGCTCAAACTGGAGCAGGCGCAAGTTAGCACGCCATCCAACATGTTGGGCCGTTGTTCTTCTTCTTGCCACTCACCATGCTAATTATAAAAACCTTGGGCGCTATTATCCCCCCATTTCCGCCGGTGTAGTTCTTCTGGCGAGGAACGGCCACGGCCGTAGCTGGACCAAGGTGGCAGAACAACTGCAGGGCAATAGTTGCCCAATACGAGAGACACCTCATGATGAGGGATGAGAGCAACAAAGTGAAGTTGACGATTCCAAGAAGTAACAAAGAAGGAGCACCATCTCCTATATGCACAAGACAGGACAGGAGTGCGAATGGATGACTGCGTTTCCTACTCCACCTTCTCATGCCACTGTTCATGTAGGTTCGGCCAAGCTTTATGGATATGATCGACGATCATGGCAATGCAATGCCGGCTGAGCTTATCAAGCAGGATTCCACGAAGTTGGGAATGCAAGGCGTTCTTACAAAGCCGTCCAATCCCTCGGGAGTGCTTCTTATTCAACGATGCTGAGTCTGTTCTGCGTGATGACCGCTTCTGTCCCAGCGGCCACGTACCATAGTCATCCGTTCATAAGTTTCAGCCTGTCGTTGTTTTTCCCTTCTTTCTCGCCTCAAGCTTGAGATTCAAGCTCCCACCTATGTAGGTATGGACTGACTCAGCTCAACTCAGCTACGACCAAGCGGTGAGAATGACACGGAGTAAACGCGGGAACTAGTCACGCGAACCGCCATGATTTTCCGGGAAGCGACCCGGTAGCTAGGGAATCGCTGGTTGATCGGCGAAGAAACTGGGATGATGTCTACTTTTCATCCAAGCTCAACCAACGATGCAACGCACTTCTGGGCAAGCGTTCGAACACCGATTGACCTTGACCACAGCTCGATCTTATGAGGATCAGCATGCCCTGTAGTGTGGGTATTTGTTTTCATTTTTGGTATCTTCAGCCCGGATCTTAGACACTACATCTATTCAAGTGTCCCTCCATCATGATTCAACCCTCCATGCCGCGTTCACGATGGCGTCATCAGTCCACCACTCTCATCGTCAACATCAACGATTCTACAACCTTTATTCCCAATCTCTATGACTAGCACCCTTTCACCTCGCATTGTTCGCCCTGGGATTGTCGGTGCGGTCCAACTCCACATCACTGCAGATACACCAAAAGTCGCTTCGGTTGCCTTGACTGAAAAGGTAGCCTGTCCACCAGAAACGGATGTCGTCTCAAACGTCTCGGTCCCGCTTATGGCACAAGATCCATCACCAAACTGCTGCCCTCCAAACGACGGAGGACTTCCTTGATCCACTCTGGACGTCGCGCTCACTCCCGTCAACCTTTTCGCCCTTACCGTCGAAGAGGTCAAGCCAGTCAAGGTAAACGACTGGGTGGTTCTTGTCCCGCTGCCGGCGTAATAGTCAGAGTTGTACAAAAGCACTCTTAGTGGGAGCCCCTTCGAACCGAACGTGGCATAGGCCGCATAGTTGGTCGAACCGCTATCCAAAGCCGTCAGGTGGCTCGCGCCGGCCATCAATGCTACCGCTGCGTACGCCCCGTAGTACGGAGCACCCATGCTGTATCGGCCCCAGAAGCAATACTGGCAGTTGCCGACGGTTCCGTGATGGAAGTACGTCCTCGACATGTTGCTATAAGTAGCGCGGAGGGCGTAGTCCATGGTCCATAAACCTGCCCCAAATGTTGGAGAGACTCCGGCTGCTCCGCCGCCGGATACTGGAAGAACAATCATCATCAGTTAACTAGCCAAAGCTTTCTCTAGGGAAAAGGGTGCGTGCTACATACCCGAGTTCGTCTCGCCAAAGACGTACTCCTTCCCGACCCCGCGAGCCGCAGCTATGTCGGCGTCAAATATGTTGAGGTTCTTCGAGATGGTCGAATGCGTCATGAGACTCTGAATGCTTCCACCGGGGTAGTTATGGTGGGCGTAGTGCCGAGTATATTGCTTCACCGTTGCGTTCTCGGTGGCTATCAGCTGCGCAGCTCCCCATTTGGGCGGTGCATCATTCCAATTCCCCGCCTGAATGATGTTGTTCCTACCAACCGCGCTGCCGACGCGAATGTTCCAGTTATTCTGCGATGCGGCGTCCGTGGCCGGAGTCCAGTTGACTCCGGATGTAATCGGTTGTCCGTCTTTGACCCAGTCTAGTTAGACAAAGAAGACAAGACCCTTTGTCAGCAAACGCCTTTCAACATAGAGGTATCCAACATCCATAGCGTTCAGTTTCTCTCACATTCAGGTTCATTCCCCAGCTCAATCGCCAGCAAATTCTTCACCTCGGCCACAGCAACCTTGGCCGCAGCGATCGTATTATCGATATTATTCTTTCCCCTATTCAGCCCCACCACCACACTCCCTCCGTACGTCCCCGCCAGCGTCATGAATTTCGGGCCAAACGTCAACACGGAGGGTGCGTCCTTGGCGTCCGCCACCGAGTATACGACGTAGGCGGACGTCTTGGAGTCATATTGCGCTCGGTCTTGCGTCGTTCCGCCGATGCGGATGGGCGGCCAGACGCCCGTCAGGGACTTCCAGTTCGCTAGACATTGCTGGGTGGCGGTCACGTTGGTGAAGTAAGAGGGAAAAGCGAAGAATTCGAAGGAGATGCCGATGGGCGAGGGGTCAAGGGGGGCGTAGGCGTAGCTGCCGGTTCCGACTTTATTGGGAACGGTGAAGGTGACTGCGCTGGAGCCGGGAAGAACTGCTGCTGTGGTTAGGCAGAGGACTGAGAAGGCTGTTGTCTTCATGGTCGTCCAGATTTTTAGGGATTCATGGCTTCTACATAAAGGAACCTAGAAGGTTTGGGGGATTCCTCGCTATTTACATGGAGATATCCGAGGTTCGGAATCGGACACCACCCATGTGCACCCGCCCGATCGAGGAACTTCGGTGCTTTAACCGGCCGATGCGACGCCAGACAGCCACCAGGTATTTCTGTAATGGGAAGTAGTTTTTCCGTCTGTCACGATTGAATACCAGGACGATCAATTCCCTGGTACCACGACGAGCGGGATAACACATTGTTTTATGCTTGGCACCAGACGCGCGCGCCCCGATGGTCCTTGTTTGGTAGTGTACCAAACTTGGTCGTGAAGACAGTTCGCAAGCCAGTTGCTTACCTCAGTTTGTTACAGTATGTAAGTTCTTTGGTTCGGGTTTTCACTTCGCATTACACCATGTTTTGATCGTAATGCTTTGCTTTACTCTATCAGGCACGTCGTGGTCACGAGCCACCAGTCACTTGGTCGATTACTTGCACTTTTTTTTTGTCTTGACTCTTTGCATTATGCTCTAGTCTATATGTAGTATGTCTAGATGCTCATGTCATTCAGTCCAGCCATATTCTAACCATATTCTAACCATGCTCTATCAACCTCTTCCTCTTCATCTTCCAAACCCCTCTAGAGTTAGTCTAAAGCCTCTGAACAGGTTGCATAAACCTTTCTACCCCCTCCAACAATCTCACCATCTCCTCCCTCAACTCCCTCCCCCTTCTAACACTCCCCTCACAAACCTCCGCTACATTCGCCGTCGATAGCTCCCTCAGCACCTGTCTCGCCTTTCCAACAGGATAAACATCACAACCAGCCAACTCCTGAACCGTACTACTACACTCCTTATTCTTCCTCTCAAAAGCCACAACAAGCTCACCCATCCCCTTCCTCTTTTGCACAAAGGTCTTGAACAGCTCACCGATCTTCTCATCCGCCTCCCTAATCTTCTTACACAACTCAGCACACCGATTAAGCGGCCTTTCGAACTCCCGCACGAAGAAAGCGTGCCGCTTCACTGCCGGCTCCTGTTGGTGCTGCTGCCGAAGAGGTTGGAACGTGGTCGCGCACGCCTCGGCAAGTTCTAAAAACAAAAGTTCCATAAGCTCGGAGACTTCGACGATGGTTCTGTCCAGTGTCAATTTCTGCTTGTGGATCTCGTCGGCTGTGGAAAGGAGGGAGGTTCGGGCTTGGGAGAGACTCTCTTGGCTGCCCCTGGCTGGGATCGGCGGCGTGGTCAGGGTCAGGGACTCACTTTTTTTTAGAAGGAGCTGCGGGAGCTTGGGGGGCTTGGGGGGCTTGGAGAGGAATAAGCAGACTCAAAGGGTGATGTTCATGAGTCACTGACAAGCTGGGACATTCAGACGCGTTAACACCGCTATTTATGTTGCCTGCGACGTCGCTGGAGTGCAACTTCCAGAGGAGGCAGGGCATCGTTTGTTTGTAGGCTACGCAGCAGCAGCTGTTCTTGTTGTTGATGTGTGTGGGGCAGATAGCGAATTTGTGTGGGGGTTGGGTTTTGGATAGGAATTCGTCTGTTGTTAGCCTTGTAGGGGGAAGGTTGAGAGCGGCGACGATGGAGGAGGAGGAGAGGTTGGAGGGGTTGGAGGCCGCTTGAGCTTCGGGGTGGGAGAAGTGGATGATGTTTATCTGGCACATATTGAGTGTGAGGTGTGTTTGTTTGTGTGAGTGGGTGTGGTTTTTGGTTGGGGAAATGTTCTGGTAGCTGAGACGGCGTTGTTTACCTTCGTGTGTTTCTTGTTTTTGAGAGTATCCGGTAAGTCTTAGTAGTATGATATGGTCCAAAGTCTTTGGTGATGAGGATGGAGTTTCGAAGCTGACAACATGGAAGGTACCTCTAGGGACCGATGGCCATATATATATATATATACCTGACTCGGGAGGTCTTGTCCATCGTGGACTCGAATGTGAACAACGTATCTGGATCTCTGGTAGATCTTTTTGTTAACTGTCACTATATGCTCACGAGCACTTGTTGCTGTTGTTTTGGGCTTTGACCCGGAAGACTTCCGATCCACTCGTTCGAGTTCCCGTTTTCTGAAAGTTCTTTGTTCTTCTTCTGGGTTATCCTCGCCCAAAGGACGGGGAAGGACATCCGATCGAGTCAGTTGAGTACAATCTCATTCTTCTGGGTCTTCTTTCGGATAGTTCCTTGTTAGGGATCTTGCTTCCGAGTTCCGGCTTCTGCACCATGAGCCTTCCCGGGAAAGTCGTCCAACTCCCGCCAGTTAAGGACAATCCCATTCTTTTGGATCTCTTTCGAAAATTTTCTTTTTCAGGGATTCGGCTTCCGAGTTCCGACCATTGTTCGTCACCGGCCCTGGAGTTGACCGCTGTGGCTCGACGTACTCTTCTTCCGCTCTCCGTCAGGAACATTGTAAGCAGCGCCAACTTTTTCGGGGAAACTGCGTTTTATTTTTTGACCACTGCCTGCTTGAGTTCTGCTACTGTTTTGGAGATAAGCTGCTGGCTGGTTGTATCACCATCGGGTAGAGCTTTGGCCACGGGTATCAAGCTGGGTCTCCTCCACGAAGACTAGGTAGGTATGTACACGCAATTGCCGACCAAGTCACACCTCTGGTGATTATACATGTTGGGCACAAAGGCCAAGGCTCTGCATATTACCTCCCACACGGTGAATCTTGGCTCGATTTGAGTAGAGGTATGCTGAGAGAGCTGACGTCCCCAGGGGCATCTTCCACGTTCTTCCAAGATCGAGTCAAGGGATATGACCTACTTTATAGGTATCTACCCCAGATCATGTGTGACGCCCAGCACTATACACCACTTACCATATTTAATCTCGGGGAGTCGCATGGCGTCGTATGCACCCCATATCCAGCTATTCTCCCAACTGGCTCCCTTCCGGGCTTTTGTGGTAAAGGTGCACTTTACCCGGTTCCTGTTAATAGCTGTCTTTAACCGCCTGAATGGCTGGCGCGGCAACATCACCACGTGCCATACCATAGAAGTGCCGAAGGACGTTCTTCAATCTAATCTGGTCTGGTCATGATAGGACGAGACGAATGATGAAGAGATATATGAACCACATCACCTTTCCTTTGGGGTTCTTTGGCCACCTACCTTGGCCAGACGTCTTTCCACCAAATCCTGAATCGCAGAGTCATTGACCTCTGACCCCTGATCGACGATAAAAGGCCATACCCGAAAGAACGCCAAAAACGGGGGAAGCAGAGCAAAATGAAGCTGAGCACTGCTCTCGTATTGCTTGTCGCAGCTATTGCTGAGGGCCATTGTGAGTCCATCAATTCCCGGTCTCTATGCCTTTGTTTTCTCCTTCCTCTTCCCCAATTTCCAAGTCCGCCCAGGGCAAGAACCTCAAGGCGGGAGGTGCGGGTGGTGCTGCGCTGGAACCCTCAAGTGGGACGTTGAGGTATATAAGTTTGTAATATGTCTCTTTTTCAATATGGGAAGCCCGCATGGCTCAGTGGTAGAGCGCATCACTAGTAATGATGAGGTCGTCAGTTTCGATTCTGGCTGTGGGCAAGATGCCTTCTTTTTATTTTTTTGCTTCTTTTCTTTTTGCTTCTCTTCTTTTTGCTTCTCTTCTTTGAGCGTTCCGAGGTTTGAAGGGGGGACTCGTATTCCTTTCTTGTTCCCGATTTCCATTTTTGTCCCCTCATCTTGCTTCTTTCATCATACACCATCTTTCACTTTTTATCCATTCACATATCCCGCGGGCGGTCCTTCCTGGCTGTCGCGACCCAGACCGTGAGGTCGCTCGCACCTTCCTTCCCCAGACTGGTGATCGGAGGGTGAACAAGAAGGAATGATTGAGGGCAGTTGTGGGAAAGAGCGAGCAGTGCGCATGCGCCATACCAGTCAAACACCCGACTGACACACATGGAACAACACAGACACCTTTCCAAGCGTCGCCAACTCCGCCGACTGGCAATACGTCCGAACAACGGCCAACTTCCAAAGCAACAGCCCCGTCCCCAGCATCAGTACCGACGCGATCCGGTGCTATGAGCGCGACGCCGGCAAAGGCGCTCCCAGCATCCTCAACGTGACCGCGGGCCAGACGCTCAACTACAACGCCAAGGCGTCCATCTCGCACCCGGGACCCATGGCCTTCTACATCGCCAAAGTGCCCACCGGCCAGACGGCTGCGACGTGGGACGGGAAGGGGAAAGTCTGGAGCAAGATCTACCAGGATTATCCGACTCTGGGGGGAAGCATGACTTGGCCTTCGCAGGGTATGTATTTCCCTCCTCTTCTTTGTTTTCCATGTCCCCTGACTCCTGAGATCATCATCTAACGAACGCCCTCCTCCCCACGTGCCCGCGTACAGGTCAAAAATCCATCGGCGTCAAAATCCCCCAATGCCTGCAAAATGGCGACTACCTCCTTCGAGCCGAGCACGTCGGTCTGCACAGCGCAAGCTCCGCCGGAGGTGCCCAATTTTACGTTTCGTGCGCCCAGATCTCGGTTAGCGGAGGTAGCGGAAGCTTCAGCCCGCGCAACCAGGTCTCGTTTCCGGGCGCGTATCAGGCGACGGATCCGGGACTCATGATCAATATCTACTATCCTGTGCCCAAGAGTTATACGCCGCCCGGGCCGGCGGTTGAGAGTTGTTAGTTGGGTTGAGGTTGGGGCGCTCGGGGCTTTTTGAAAATATGGCTTCGGGATGTCCACCTGGTGATGACTTCATCTCCCGTTAGAAGGATGGAACGAAACGGGGTGAGAGGAGGAGCATGTGGGTGCAAAGGGCGGAAGAGATGCAAAGGGAGAAAGAAACAAAGAAAAGCAGTGTAGGTATGCGAAGGGCTCATGAAGATATAACGGAGTGTACCGCTGGCTGTTTGTCATCGTAGTCCACGACCTCGTACGAACAACAAACACAGTACATACCTTCAATCCAAACCCTCCTCCTACATAACCACATTCTCCCACACCAGCATTCAACAATTGGCGGTTAACAACCGCCCGGCTAG